GGGCCAAAAGGTTTGTTTTTTCCCCCCCCCCCCCCCCCCCCCCCCTTTTTTGTCGTTTTTTGCGTTAATTCATGTCCTGCAGAACCGCGGGTCCTTTTCTGTATCCTAACAAGGCCCTCTCGCCACCAGTCTCGTACCACCCCCTTAATTGACTTTGTTTGCTATGCCATGTCGATGCAGCACTGTTCAATCCGCTTCTCCAACAGCCATCCCACCACATCTCCCCTTTTGGGGTTTTTTTTTTTTTTTTTTTTTTTTTTTTTTCACCCATCAAACAGTGAATCTCCTGTGAAAGGATTAACATCCGGATATTTACAGTTAATTTTTCTCCACGACACGAGCCAACATGTCGGCGGCGGTTCCGGCCGAACGCATCGTATTCCTGCTGGATACCAGCCAGGCCAGCGCAGGCTACTTTGGACAAGGCCAAGTGCAGACCGGGTCAGTTTTTTTTTACTCGATCCTCTCTTTTCTTGCCCTCTTGGTGATGGCGAGGGCGTTCTCATCTGAAAGTGGCGTGTGCTGTTCAGAACCAAGTTGACCATGGCCATGCAGAGCATTCGCCATTTTGCCAAGCTCAAAACTGCGCTGGATCAGCGTCACCAGTTTGCTCTGGGCTACTGCGCTGAGGGTCTTGTGCTCGTACGTGGATTTCCGCCTTTTGCTCTCTGTGTTCAGTTCGGTGTCGCAGGTCTCACGACGCCTTTCTGCTGTGACATAGCGCATTGCTTTTGCCAAGCTGGGCCCTTTTCTCAGTAGCCTGAGGGAGCTGGAGGAGGACCAACAACATCACTCCTCCGAGCACCAAGGTCAGCACCGCATGCCATTAGCCGCAGCGGCCTCGTTCTCAACCACCACCGCCCTCTCACCATCGCGCCGTGCCTCTCTCTCCCGTACCGTGTGTCTTCAGGCCTGGATATTTCAGCTATCGCTGCTGAACTGTAAGCATTGGTTTGACTTACCGACTGCATGGACTGTCTCCCTCCCTCAACATCCCATGCCCTCCCTCAGCATCTCATAACGCTCTTGCACCTCGTGTCATATAGATCGGCAAGCCTAAACTTGCCTTTGGCATTGACGCAGGGTGAAGAAGATATGGCTCCTATCCTGCGCGTCATTTTGCTTCACACGCGGCCTACTCCTCCGATGGCCTCAATTCAGGTGCAGACATGTCTTCAGCTCAGCCTTATTCATTGCCTACGAACCTGACTGCTTGGCGTTTTTCCACAGCCTTGGAGCTCGCTGGCGCAGAATTTGGCCCTTTTCGTCGATGTTGTTGATTTGCACTCGCCCGAGCTGGAGCCCCATGACGCTGCAGAGGTCACCAGTACAAGTGCGACGTTGGCAGTGTTTGCAGAGTACCAGCAGCCAGGCTATCTCCTTGAAGCTGGCCTAGCAAGTGAGCAGCTACACCAAGCCATGATGATTTTGCTTGGTCATCCGCTTCAACGACCTGCACAACCCGAATGGCCTGCCCCCATCATGCAGGTTGGTGTTTGACCCGGTGTCGAAGCCTTGCCGCAATATTTATAGTATTGTGTTGGTATTTTGTTGTGGTGGTTGTGGCTGCAACAAGGATGCTCTTCAATACAACATGACAGGGTTGATTGTTGACAGCATTGGGTTGACCATCTCAACGACCCTTGAATGGGCTTGCCACGTCCGATGCTCCTCTGATAACAACACAATGCCTCTTTGTTCATGGGCGCCCTTAGGAGAGAAGCTGAGGATCTGCAAGCGGCAAGCTTCTCATTGCCCATCCCCAGAAAGCAAGCCGATTGGCGATTACACCATCATTCCTTGCCTTCCGCGGCCGCTGACATGAGATTGCAAGCTGCCTTGTGCTTAGGCCAATGCTCGACCTGGCATTGTCTATCATGCAGCCACACAGCACCTTCGTGAGCACGTCACCTTCAATACGACCAGAGCATTCCAAGAAATCGTTGCACAACTCGCTGTACACATGGCCTCTCTGCGCCAACGTCAGCAGAGGTTGCTGCCAAGAGCCGGACAGCACAGAGTGCCAAATTTTTCAAACCCCTCGCTCTTACCGGCGGCAATACCACTCGGATTGGCAGCGTGAGCAGCGGTTTACAGCATCTGCGCCACACACAACACATTTGGGCTGCTCAGGAAATAGTGAGTCGAGCATGTCCAAGCTGTACGTCTCGGCCAACCTGTGAGAAAAAGGAACCATGTCGAGATGAGTCAACCAATCCCCCACGTGGGAGCACCGCAGCCACGGCCACGGTCGCGGGCAGCAGAGATCAGGCAAAACTTTGTGATCTCGTTTAGCCGTCTCTTTGATACTCCTGTCCACGCCCATGGCACCCAGCCTACGTACAGTTTGGCCTGTGCCTTGCGCGTTTGCTCGTCGGGGTTGAAGACCTTTTTATTCTGATAGGCGGCGAGCTGTGCCCATCGGCCACCGTTGATTTTTTCAAGCCCCTGACGAATTTCTGGCAGTTGCTCCAGTACGATACTCGTGTCGGGTGCAGGCGGTTCCATAAGAGAGAGCTCCTCAAGCGCGCGGCGCAACTCAACCAAAACGGGTATTTGGTCAAGCAGCACCTCTGCAAGGCGCGTAGCGGGTCGTGCAGGTCAGTCTCCCCAAGGTCAACTGAGGGGCGTTTGGACGACAGAAGCAAGCCAAACGCAGGAGGCCTGACCGTTCATAAAACCGCGTAAGCGTAAGATTTCTGCTTTGGAGTGAGAGTTGTACTCATACTTGCGGCGACACTCGGGCTCCATGAGAAGGTTGTACAAGGCCAGCCAGACTTGAGCTTCAGGCTTGGTGAGCTGAAATTGATTTTGATGGGGCACATCGACCCATTTGCCTTCGTCCGTAAACTTGAGCAGCTGGCCATCGTGCCGCTGGGACCACGGCGGCGATACCACCAGAGCAACCAGGGTCTGAATCATGTCTAGCGGGCATGATGCGCAGACAGCAAAAAAAATAAAAATAATAATAATAATAATGAGCTTTGACTGAGACTCGAACCATACTGGACTGCGGGTGGGTGCCAGCGTCTGACCATGTGTGTTGAGCATTCGGGTGACGGCAGACAGCGACAGACTGTTGGGAAAGGAGGGGTGAGCACATCACGTCAGCCACGCACAAGTGCGACGACGATGCAGCCAGCAGTGAGCAGTGCCGATGGCACAAAAGCTTATTCTCACCATGTGACGTGATCAGTCAAGTATCGAAAAATCGCGACAGTTTTGACAGCCATGTTAAACCGTAGCGTGCGGGTTTGGTAATTGAGCTGCGCCTGTCCAGTCATACTGTCCATGTCCCGTGCCGAGAGGTTTTCCTGCTCCACTTCTCGCTCAAAATCCTCCTCCGTTCTGCAAGCCAAAAGCACAGCGTGGGGTCAGCTTGCTGTGGCATCCGGGTCGGTAGGTGAACTGGAACCAAGTCAAGGGGGACCCAGCAACAAATTGGAAAAAAGCACACAAGAAAACAACGACCTGAGGAGAACGCAAAAGATGGAAGAAGGCGGTCGTCAAACGCACATACACAACGAGAACGGAACCAGGTCAAAAAGCGCGACAGCCAGCCCCAGGGGAGCAGTCTCACCGCGCCAAAAGATAGGTGCAGGCTCTCTGGCAGTAATCGATGAGATCAATGGCAGCATCTCCCAAGGCCTCAACAGCTTCGCGATGATATAATACTGCCTCGAGGAGATTAATGACAGTCGCTTCATGATAATGAATCATGTATGGCGCAACGGTGCTCTGCTCGGCGTATCCTAGAGCCTCAAGCTCGGGTCGCACGCGCTCGCGCCACATTTCAAGGCTCACAAGTTCATAGACGAGAAAAGCCAGCTAATGAAAGAGGCCCCACGATCGCGCAATGAGTCATTGTGAGCATGAAGGGACCCACCAACCCGGTGGGGCACATCATCCACGCCAACGCACCTTGTCAAGCGAGATAAAAGCCTCGTGCACGAATTCGTCCGTGTCCATAAGTGCGTTAGTGTGCGCCTACGCGCAATGACGTGAAACAAACTCGCACGCAAGGCGACCCAGACGCTGTACTTGTGGGGGTCAGCATGTGTGATGAGAGCAACAGACCTGGGCATTGAGTTTCTCCAGCATTTCGTGCTGTTTGAGCCACCTAGGGCAGGGGTTCCGAGCGAGAGTCCAGGGCGTGACGTTTTGCTTAGGTGAGACAAGTGCAACGTGCAGCGCACCACCAAGGGCAGACGAAGGGGAGCTCGAGGAGGGCTTACGCCTGAGAGCCAATGTCACGCAACGGGATGGGCTTCAAAGCCTCGATGTACATCTCGGCCTCTGGAGCAGTGATGAGGTCCTTGTAGTCCCTGCGCCAAGCCAGGCCAAAGTTCGTCAAGTGAGTACGCCTCAACGGGAGAGGCGCTGCAGAAGCTGGCAACGTACATGATGGCGGTGCTTGAAGCAAATCAAAATTGAACCAAGTTGGTCCTCTAGTCTGCAAATCTGTGTCAAGCGTGCTGCGCGCCGCCTCAATAAAACCAAGTACTCAAGGCACCAAAGGCACACGACCGTCCTCATCAAAGGCTGCAACGAAGATGCTCCAAACGAGCGGGCTGACGCTTGTTGTTGCCAGCAAAAAAAAAAAAAATCACAAAAAAAAACCGTTCCTTTGGTTGTCAATCACGGTTTCTCTGGAAATTAATTTGATGAACTCTAATTTTAAGCACATGCAAGCAAAAAGTGTCTCCGAGACCTTTTGAGAACGCTTAAGTCTCGAAAAAAAAAAGTCATCAAAAAGAGTTTTGGATGTCTCTCTCATTTTTTTTTTTTTCTTTTTCTTGTACCTTCTTTCCTCGTCTCGGTGCTAGACGGAGCGCTGTCGGACGACGCGTTCTTCTCACGTAGCCGGGAGTACCGGTTGGTTTAGGACTATTCCGATTTGTGGTGGGAGTGCCGAAGGTTATTCAACAGCATCATGAGTCGAATCAATTCGGCCACCATTATGAACAACACTGTGGCCATCACAGCTGCCGAGCAAATCATGACCTTTGCCTCGCTCACAAGCACTGACCGTGATGGACAGCCGCGGTTGGTTTGACTCTCGGTGCTTTTGAAAATTGGCGTCGCGCTTGCCTTTTCTTGCGACTCAAGAGAGTTGACTTTTTGTTCTTCTGTGCCTCGTGCTCGCCTCATGTTTGATGCTACGCCCATCCCACGTTTTGCAGCACCGCCTCGACCGTGGCTCTGGCTGTCTTGCCCAAGGATTGCTCTGGCTTGCTGTAAGTAGGCGCTTGAAAGAGTCTGCTCGGATCATCTGCTTGCAGCGCTGAGTAAATGCAATAGCTTCACGCCAATGCTCACGCCACATGTCCTCATCTTCTACCTGGGTCCTCTTTTCCTGCCCCGCTTGACTCTTAGGATCGATCCAACGGAACGTTTTCTTCTCTCCCTGGGCCGCGCTGGAAACTGCGTTGTCTGGGCCATTGGGGTGCGTGACTGTGAGCTCGGCTGAGCCATTTGAACCGAGCGGTTGTCTGGTTCCCCGTAGGCTCACGTGTTCTTTGACTCACGGATCGGGACTCAGGTTGGCGCCTTGCAGAAGGAAGACAAGCCTCTCTCATCAGTGACGCCCCTTTGGGGCATTGAGCATGAGACCTTCAAGAACGTGCTTGTGGCTTGTCACATTAGGCCCACCAACGCCCAGTTGCCGCCGCTTGGCTGTCAGGATTTTGCGTGCGTTTATTTGCGTTCTATTCATGCTTTCGAGCCAATTCTGACCACTCACCCCAAATGCTTGCATTTCCATCGCATGTGTATCAGCTCAAACCAACGCATCATTCGGCACAAGGATCAACCTGGCTACCTCGGCTGGGGCATCGTCAACCAGCAAGGCGGGGTAAGTTGACGCTCAACTGGACATCTGTCCGAGCAATCAAGCTGTCACCGTGCTCTGAGGCCTGAGCATCGAGGTGATCGTAACGGGTCAGAGACCAAAACTCATGGGAGACTTGCCTTGAATATTGCAAACACGCGGTGGTGGATGGCAACCTCAGGTTGCTTTTCTTTACGTCAATGCAGCAACCAGCCTGCGCCGCGTAGATCTCAGTGCTCCCAATGCAGTCGAGACTGCTGTTTCGGTGCTTCTCGAAAACCCCCAGACCAACATTGAGTAAGGCGTTCTTGTTTTGTTTTGTTCGTTTGTTCGTTTGTTCATTTGTTCGTTTGTTCGTTTGTTCGTTTGTTTGCTTTTTGGGTTTTGTGCTTTTGTGTTTTGCCTTGCCTGTTAATGCCTGCAAACCCATCTGTCTGTCTCCAATCGTGGCGCAAGTCCGATGGGTCTTGATTGGCTCGAGGCGCAGTTTGACACTTGACTTCTTTTCGTGCACAGAGCCGGTGGTGAAATTGCTGACATCTACACAGCCACGGGAACGCCTCGTGATGAGCCCATTGTCAAGGCGTCTGTGCAGCAGCAACGCGAGGACCAATGCCTCGTGGTGGCTGCCCTCACCCCGAAAACCATGATGGTGGCAACCTTTTCCATCATGCAGGTGCGACCCATTGCTTGGATGTGCACGCTTCACGCCCCTGCTCGCCCGCTGGCTCACTTTGCATGTTTGGTGAACCGCAGGGAATGCCGTGTATTGCACATGCCAAGCCCAAGGTCAACCCCGAGCTGCTAGAATCAGCGATCAGTGTCACCTCCAACAGGATGTTGTTGGCCATGCGCCCCCTAGATGGTTAGCTGATTGCTTTTTCCGGCGCTCCTGCTGTATGCACAAGGCTCATATGGGTGCTTGCTCTCGTACTCCTAGGCATGATCAAGTGCATGGCGATTGAGCTGCAATCCTTTACTTTAAGCAGCGTACGTCACCATGTTGACCGGCCCCACCAACCTGAGCCACCTGTGGCTCGTGCAGACCCCTGATCAGCTTCCACCCGCTCCCCACACCGTTGTGCTTTGGTATCGTGCAGAAGGTCTTTGAGTGCGCTGATGTCACAGCGGATAGCCAGATCGAGGTCCTAGCCCCCTCCGTCTTTGCCATTCGCACTGCAATGCACAAGCTTCTCGTTGTGACCTGTCGCCGGTATGTATGGTTGTTGCGGGTCCCAAGGAATTCTTTGGGGCTGACCTTGAGTCGAGCTGCCTTCGAGAGCGTTCTTTTGACGCAGATATTTCGGCTCGTTCTTTTATAGGGAGAGTGCGGATGTGTTTGACATTGAGCGCTCTCGCGTTGACCTGCCAGCTGAAGTGGCTGAGGTGGCCGAGTGGTGTGACTTTGCCATCAATCAGCAACACAGTACGCCACCCACTCCATTCCAATCGCGCGCACCGACTTGACTGGGTATTCACGGCATTTCTGTCTTTGCTTTGTCTCAGCCCACGTCATGATTCGAACTACATCAGACAAGCCAATGCATTTCCTGCACCTCGGTATGGACTGCTCACTCATTGTCGTCAATTCCTGCCCTTCATTCGTCAAGCACATGTCTGCCACGTGGCTGGGACTCACACGGTTGGTTTGGATGCTTTAGAAACTGACAAGCCACAAGACGCTCTAGCCCGCGCCGTGTCCACCTCTGTACCCCACGAAGTCAACAAGTAAGAGCAATGGATGGCTCTTCCTGCCCTGTGGCCAATGATGCCATGGGCATATGCCTGTCAATGGCTGCATTCAAGTGCGCTGATGATGGCAGCTCACGCCTCCTTCCTTCTACTCCTTCACCACCATGACAGCTTCGATGCCTCTCATCTGACTGCAGTCATGAATGAGTTTCCACCGACGTGAGTTGCGATGCTTGGATCTGCAATTGCTTCCCGAAAAGCACCGCGGAGGCTCTCCTGATGCATCCTTCCTCTGTTTGTGCCTGTTTCTGGCCGATATTAGGACCATGGAAAAATATCTTGGACGCTTGCGTCAAGTGGTCAGCCAGAGACGCGTCAATTGCAAAGATCTTACCGATTGGCGTGACAACCTGGCCTTGCTTTGCCGCATCATGCGCACGGTCGTGGAGCTCAAGGATGCTCTCTGCGTGGCCGTCAACTGCTTCACTTACCGGGTAAACATCGCCTTGCTGACTTTTGGTTTTGTCCATTGCCGTCGGGCCGTTTGCGCGATGTAAAACTTATTAGTGTGACGTTTGCAGATTGATCTCGAGGTCGCTGCAGTACCACACGACTCGTTGGCAGACGCCATTAGGGCATTAAACACAGACTCGCTTGACCTCCGCGATGGTTCGTAGCTTGCGTCGGTTTGCTGGCCTGACCGGCGCTCGATTGCACCGAGCGTGGCACGGGTCTCATACGTTGTGAGACGCAAGACTCGTCGGCTCCATGCCCATGATGATTCCTGATGATGGTGCTGACTTTTCTGCCCATTCTGTTCGCGTTGTTTCGTTCGGCAGACGACGCCAAACAGCTGACATACATTGCCATGCGACTTTTGCTCTCTGCGGAGCTGGTGCTCATCCTTGCGGGCCAGCTCTCTGACGCGGTGGCTTCAGGTGTGTATGGCGTCGTGCTGCTTGTGGAGATTTGTCAGACGCAGTTGGTGGCTCATTCTGGGTGTGCTCAACTTTTGCACAGACGAAGATGCTAAAGCGGAGCGCATCAACGTATGCCGCTGGCTGCTGCCCCTAACAGGCTCCTTTCCACGCACAATACGCTTGGCATTGACCGTGGCCATCGCCGTTCTTCTGCAAGGTGCGGCAGCGCAGGAGTCCATGGCCTTGACGGCCGATGCGGATGCCGCTGCTGAAGCACACCTTCTGCCGGCCCAAAAGAAAGAGACCGAGATTAAAGCAGAGGGTTTCGTTTCGTTTCTCGACGACTCGTCAACTATTCCTGCTAGTGTCAATCACGAAGGAAGCCTTTTGGCGCGCTTCCGAAGTGCACCGGCCTATCTTCTAGCCCGTGAAGCTTATGATTTGATCGGACACATGCAAGAACTGGAGAGCCATGCGGAATTCGTTTATGGTGTTAGGCCCAAAGATGCGCGGCGCCTGCTTGCCATCGGCCAGACCCAACTTCCTGGTCTTTTGAAGATTGCCGGCTTCGATGGTACGTTTGCGCTTTGCGCCCCACCGCTTGATTGGGCTCTCTAGCCATTGGCTCTCGTTTTGACCGGTTCTTGCTTTTTTCCTTCGTTTCGGATGAGGAAAGGCGAATTCTTACTAGATGTGAGCAAAAACATTGTATTGACTCACTTGCCCAAGAAAGGAGCCTATCGCTCCTGTGCTCGGTGCGTCATGGTTGCCTTGCTATCCGTGCGTTGGCGTGACGCTTCGTCGCACGTTTTGAGCTCATCTAGTATGTGCGGTAGCTGTGCAAATGTGTATACAACAGAGCTGTTTGTAGGTGACTGGCAAAAAACTATGCGCTGCTCCTGTGGTGCACGCTGGCTCTAGTAGCCTTGGAACAAGGCCGGAGCATTTGGAATTTTGTGAGTTCCTTTTTGCTCTTGATTCTGTGTCATGACGGTGTTTGATGTGACCCAAGGTGCTGTGCAGCGAGGGCGCGTCAGGATAAAGGCCTAAAAAGAGTTGCATGAAGACCAAAGCAAGCGATGTTGACTTGACAATTAGAATCCATGTGACTTGAAAACAAAAATTTTAAAAATTTGAAATCCGTTCTTTTTTTTTTTTTTTTTTTTCGGTGGCGAACTGAGCTCAGGCACGAGGATAGTAATGAACACGAGTGGGGCAGAGAGGGGATACACCTCACCTCAACCCGGGCTGGTTTGAACCCACCAAGTGCTAGATCTGATTCTCGAATTCTTGGACTCGGGAAAACCGCACAGGCCATGCGTCCGCCCTGCTGGTTGTTGACCGCAGCGCTGTTTGCGCTGGGGCTGTTCAGCGTGGCTGCTATTCTTCATGGACGCGCCAGTCACCTCAAAAGCGACCAATGGCCGGCGGGTGTAGGCTCTTTTGACAAGGGCCGATCGACCGTTGCAGGCCCACGCAGCATTGCGTCGACCTCACCGGCCTCAACAACATCTTTTAGCCCCATGGCACTGAACGCACCCTGTTTTATCAAAGGAGAACACAACTGGCTGGACGTGGTGTGTCACTATCGACTTGGCCCAGCCCAACCGCAGTGCTGTTGCTACTTGGGCCAGGAACTGAACGACGCTGGTCACCTTTCGCTTCCAGAACTTGACGAACAGGCGCAGGATCGGCAGCTGAAGGTTTGTGCCACGTATCCCCGCTTGGTCCACTGCCCGGCCGTCTGGCACTTCGATGTATCCCCAGACGGGGCAGGCAAACTGGGTGGCCAGCATGCTCATTTGGATCCCTATCAAACAACCTCCTCACATCTTGCTTGGTTCGGTTCCCTGAAACCATTGCTTGGATGTGCGTCTTCAGCCCTTCTGTTTGCCCACGTACCTGATCATCGGAGCACAAAAGGCTGGCACCACGGCCTTGGCTGCCTTGCTCAGCTTGCATCCCATGATCAACCCAATGCGCGTCAAAGAGGGTACGGAGCTTTGTGATTCGCTTGGGCGGGCGCCGCACCACTCTTTGGGCCCGTGACTTTCACACCCTGGACCACGAACATGGAAATAGGGCACTTTTTTGATCGTGCCTGGGGAAATCAGCAACGCGCGAATCGCTATTTCAAGAGCTTCATCCAAACCGAGCCAGCCATGACATTCAAGGTGCGTCGTTGCTGTACCCCTGGGGCAAAGTCGCTGCTGCCTGGAGAGCCCTCGGCTTTTTGACCTCATTTCAGTTGCGCCAATGATCTCGGGGTGCTTCACAAAACATGTTCTGTCCTTAGACTTTGATTGGTGACAGCACACCGTCATATGCATTATCGCATCGCTACGCACAGCGAATACGCGGCGCGCTACCGCATGCCAGGCTGATCATGCTGCTGCGCAATCCTGTTGCGCGAGCATATAGCGAGTATCAGATGAAGTTGCGACGCATTGAAGCTGATGTAGGCTGGTTCTCTGCTTGCAGCTCGCTGTACACGCGGGAAAGCATGATGTCTGTCCTGCTCTTATTCTCACGCATGCACCCTTGATCATGATTGCTCGCGAGCAATAGCTTCCTTTTGACAACCTTACGGTGTGGAGTGAGTATGTCGAGCTGCTTGCGGGATGCTTAAGGTACGGATGTATCTCCAGGCCGACGATAACGGGTGCCGCCACCCCCACTGGGCCCTGAGAAAACCCACACGGTTGATTGTGTATGTTTGCTTGGCATGTTTGGGGCTTGAACAACATGTGAAAATAGTGGAAGCTTGTCGGACCCGAAAACTTGGGCACACCGGGGTTTGGCGTGCAGCCGAAAGAGTTCGCTGCCGAGTTTCCCCCAATTTCAGACTGTGTTTGCTCGACGCTCCACGTACGTACGCGCTACGACTGGCAAACCCATTGAACCGCGTATGAGATAGACTTGTGGCACCTCATGCCTGCTTGGAGGGGGGGGTCCGATAGGCGATGGAAAGACTTTGACGCCTGCTTGTCGCCACGTTTAGCCAAACTGGGCGAGGCGGAGTTTGAAGCCGAGGAGCTGCAAGCCTATCGAGCACCTCACGAATCAAACACGGAGATTGTGGCAGCCATGCGCGCATCCCTACTCAACCTGACACTGACTTGCGTTCGGTGGGCTAAACTGCATACGGAGGTTGTTCTGCCTTTACCGAGAGCCTTTGCTGAAGAAATTTCGAAGGTGGATGCAAGCATGTACTATGATGCACTCGCGTGTGGCCGTCAACCGGCCCGTTGCCAGCAATTGCAGCGTCGGTGTGGTCCAAGCTACAACGTATCTGAGACCTGCCTTCGTGATCCAGCGCTTGCTCACTTTTTCTCATTCAACACCACGGTCCACTGGCCCAAGGGAAGCCACTCCGACATTCAGCGGGACTTTATCTTTCGCGGGCTATATGAGCCACAGGTAGCGCATCTGAAGTGCTGGCAACCAATGAGATGCCACCTGCTTGGGTTTTCAGGACATTGCGAAATCTCACAATCAAAAATAACCCTCCCCCCGGGCCCTTGTCCTCCCACCACCTGGGGCCCACGTGTTTGACTTTTCTAGATCCGGTGGTATCGGGAGGAGTTTCCCGCCGATCAGCTATTGTTGTTGACGGATCGGCAGTTGCGCGAGGAGCAGGGCGCCAGTTTGCAGGCCATAGCGCACCACCTGGGCTTGACGGCTCCCAGCGACTGGCTGGCCACGGACTCTGCCGCGGTGAACGACCGGTACGATACGCGGCCACGGGGGATTGCAGTTCTTGGCCGTTGCTTCAGCCTCTGGTGGGCGGCTCTCATTATGGCTACATAAAAATCGGTGCACGGGGTGTTCCGGGGTGATTGGAACTGGAGTGTATAGGGTCAGCACACTTTGGGAGCGCTTTGTCAACACTGGCTGGCAGCTTCAGTCATCGTACCAGCCGCTGGACGCTGAGCTGCGCCAAAAGTTGGAGGCGTTTTTCCTTCCACACAACCTACGACTCTTTCGCTACCTTGACGAGGAGCTCCACTGGTAATCGCTGAGCGATTTCGAGCCGCATATGGACCGAGCAAGAAAGAATGAGTTGACGGCTGCGCCGTTTTTAGTGTTTTAAGGCGCTCTTCCTGTTGGGGTCAGTGGTGTGGCGAAATTTAAAGTTTCGCCGTGAATGCGAAATTGATTTGCCTCTCGAATGTGAACAAGGTGACGGCAGTGGACAGCACACCGGGGGTAGGATTGTCATTTGCTCCATCTAAAAGCAAGCCAGGGTGCTCTCGGGTTAGGACCATGGTGCTGTTGCGCATCGCAGATGATGATCGCGTGTCCACACCAGATGCCGATACATCGAATCACTGCATATCTGGACATCAAAAGTATTTTTGCACCTTCTGCCTCACGCATGTCTTGATGACTGCACGAAACGCAAACCTGTTAAAGAATTTATCTCACATGTGAATACACCCACCTTCAACTTACTCTTGACGCCGGGCAAGATACCTCTCCCCGTACTTCAATTGCTTGGCTTGGGAGATACTGTATCTAACGTAGAGTATCCCTCAACCATAGCTCATCAGATCGGTCAAGTCGTCAGTCCCAAAACGGTAGCACACACCACAAAAATTTGATGAAAAATGTGCAGAAATTCAGAGAAACTCATGAAAAAATGACATTGTGATTTTTATTTCTCTTTCTTTTGTTTCCTTTCCAACGTGATCATCACACGTCAGCAACGGCATCGGGCAACACACGTCAGCAACGGCAGCGGGCGAGTGCACAACCTCATGGCCGGCCACCGTCGGGTTTCTCAAGTAGCTAGCTCGTGGGTGATACAGGGTCATGCGAGTGTCCCATGAGCCAAGCTCCTGGCACTAGCGCACGTGTCTCATTGGTCGTGCGACCCTGTCAGCCGCCTGTGCAGTTGGCCATCGGCGGCACAGCGGTCGGCCCTGTCGGTCGAGCGCTGCGCGAGCGTAGTTGTGCCACAGCACCGGTTCTCTAAGTGCAGCAATTAGTTTGTGTTGGCGCGCTATGCGGAAAGAGCAAGACGCCGAGGCGTCATCGCCGATGTGCGACGAGCCACCGAAACCGTATGGCATGGCGCCGCATCGCTGGTGCACCGTGGCTGCTCGCGAGCTCCGCTTTTGCGCTATGGTATTTGGCGTGGCCCTTGCCGTGATGGTTCTAGGCATTTGGACAGCCGAGGCCGTGGATGCGGAAGCCTCGTCCTGCGGTTCTCTCACCCCCATGTTCCAGTATCGTCTCATGAACCACGTCATCCCCATTCTCAACGTTTGCGTTGCAGTGCCAGCAGCACTATTTGTCTGTGCTGCTGTCTTGGCCTCATATCTTCGGCCCCGGGCGCGGCTCATCATCAACGATGTATCCTTTGGCTTGGCACTGTTGCTGGTGCGCGTCGCACTCTTTCTCTTGATGGCCTATCTGGCCGTCGTTAGCTCGACGCTGTTCGTTCGAACTTACTATCCGCAGTGCCACATCCACCGACCCCCCGTCACCACCAATTTCGAACAAACCGCAGCCAGCATCATGTGGGCCGAGACTGAAACCTCGCCCATTGCCGTCAACCTATCAGCCGCCGTGGCGGGCCCCGATCTGCTGCCTACCCATCTCCCCACGGTTTTGCTCCCACCCTACGAGCTCGACATGATGATGGTGGCCGTCAAGCCCACCTGCATCAATCGGGCTGCGGTTGAGCGGGCCATCCACAATTTTGGGCCGCGTCGCCTCTTCATCGTGACCCCAGGCAAGCACTGCAAACTCTTTGAGAGTTATGAAACACGCGTGCACTGCATCCCTGAAGACACCATCGTGCCTGGCATGTCCGTTCCTGTCCTGAATGAGTACTTCAAACAGCGCGGTGCGGATCTGCCCAGCTTCAAGGGCAAAAACCTCGGTGGTTGGTATTTGCAACAGTTTGCCAAGTTGCTGTTCTGGACACGCGTGCCTGACTTGAGTGAGCACTTTCTGATCTGGGACAGCGATATGATTATGACCGAACAGTATCGCTATTTCAACCGCCACGGCCAGATTCGCCAACACACGGGAGGTGCCTTTGTACACGGTTATGCGACCTCCTTTTTCCAGCTAACGGGGCAGCCCATGTTGTACGGCCCGCGTTGGGAGACTTATGTTGTGCACCATCTACCAGTTTTCAAGCCCTTCCTCTTTCGCATGCTGAAGCAAATGGGCCTGACACCAGACGTGGACCCGCTTGCCTGGGTCTATCGCGTCCTCGACACAGTGCCCCGCAACGCCATTCAACTTGGATTCTCCGAGTACAATAGTTACGTCAGCTGGGTCCTCCATCACCACAAGGAGCGTTTAGGTTTGGTTACCGAGCGCCGTTGGTTGCGCTATGCGCCCTCGTATGCACAGCCAGCCCGCTCGGCTCCCAATTGTTGTCCAAGCCCGCACATGATCGAGCTTGCAGAGCAGCGGCTCAAGAACACGGAATTCTTCGGCTATGAATTTGGTCACTTTGAGTACTGTCACTACAGTGACCCCCAATACAAAGATCACTACCCCTAGGTCATGCCGCGGCCAATTCCCCGCCCACTTTCTCCTTCATTGCAGCGAGCGTGCACGGTCATTGGCTAGAAGAGCTTCTCCAACCATAAATGGATCCCTACTTTCAGGTCGGAGCGTGGCTGTAAGCCAACAGATGTGTGCTGACGCCTGGTTTGTGTTTATTGGCTCATGGCCGACCCGGCAGAGCTCAGAGGACCGTTCCGATTGTGGTTTAATTGACGCCGCCACACTAAATATGATTGCCTGCCGACCGATCGGTTGACGTTAAACGCACTTGGCAAGAGGCATGGTCACAGGCGAAGGAAGAAAGGGGTCGTGCAGCAATGAAATTGCAGTGCCTCCACCGAGGATGTGCAAATCAATGCCAGCAGTTTGACCGCACAGCGGCAAAGCGGCATGAGGGCACAAATCCACAATCTGCTCGATCCACGATTCTCAACGACGGGCGGGGACCAAGCTCATGATGCATTTCCCAAGCCACACACACACACACACACACACACACGAGTCAAAAGTAGCACAGCCGGTGATGCCCATTAAAGACTTCCTGTAGCATCTGGAAACAGGGTCGAGCGCGCAGCAGTGGGAGGTCGATCACAACAAAAACAAGAACGACATGCACTATTGTATTAGACGAAAACAGAGTCAAACCAAGGCCCACGAGATTGGGCGGAAAGAGGCACCGTATCGCCAGGCTGATTGACATGACACAATTATTCTGAGCGCTTAAAGCGTACGCCTGCGGCGAACCACGCAAAAATGCCTAGGCAAGCAAGATGGGAGGAATGAGAGGTGAGCACAAGGCTTGACCCTAGGGTGTTTGGGGGCAGCACCTCAAAACGAACCGGAAGCAATCATGACCAGGGCAATTGGCACCATCGTGCCGGCACAGGTGCCCCGGTGCTCGTTGTTCAGAGTCTGCAACTCGTCGGGCATGAGGCATGCGGGGTGAGCCAAGGGCCGGAAAGGGAAGGCCAAGGAGAGGCGCCAAAAGGCATTTTTCATCGTGTGCGCAAGAGCATAGCGAAGAAGGAATACGAAGCTTCGCGCTCCACCAACATACCAGCAGGGAAACAAACAGATGCGTAAAAAAGACGTAGAGCACGCGTAGATCACCCGAGCTCCATGCGCCACGACGGGCACGGCGCTGTACCACGATGGAGGCCACATCGCAAAACATTGAGCGTGCGAGGCACGTGGGATGAAGTGAGCAGCGATTGTGTGCAACATCTGGGGCCCAATATTGCTGACCATCTCTAATTCGGTTGTGTGCGGGCACGCGTCACTTACAATATCCCAGCCAGAAAAGGCGATGATTCCCCAAAAGACATGGGTCAGACCGATCATGGCGGCCGTTGTAGCTGTGATGCACACGTCAGACCATGAGGGCACGAGGAAGGAGGGCGGGCGAGCTTCGCAGTCGTGCAGTGCGATAGTGTTGCAAGGGTGGCAAGCTGACATGAGATGGTAAAGTGGCTATGGTCGGTGCAGCCACGTGCAGCCAAAATTCCAGGACCAGACATGATGTCGAGGAGGTTGCAGGTCATCATGGTCGAGGACATGAGGCCATAACCCAGGCCAGACACTGGGCAAAACGCCGGCCAATTCAACAAAGAATATTGAGTGGGATGAGTCAGCAACAAGTTTGTGGAGCAGACGAAGCAGGGATAGCGACAGAAGAGACGCTCGAAAGAATGGAGAAGAGAAAAAGAAGAAGAAGAGGGAATGTTGCTTGCAGAACGAACCCATGGCTAGCTTTTCGCGCGTGATGACGACATCGCCATCGGGGGAAAGAATGCTGAGATCGTGTTCGGTGCGGCGCAGGAGACGCCACCACAGATAGCGGAAAAGCTCTTGTAACAGGACCGAGGCAATCAAAGCAAACCAGTAATCATCCTACAGGGAAGCGCAGATGGACAGCCCTCGTCAGGAACAAGCGGGTTCCTTGCTTGTTCCTTGCCTGCCTGTCTCGAGATCAAGGGGGCCCAGGACGACCCGCGCGGGTGCTTACCTTGAGGGGAGGGACAGCAACCCAAACAACGGCGGTCAAAAGTGCAGCCACGAGCCAAAGGAAGGCACTGCAAGCAACAAAGGCCAGTGACTCGAATGAGGCTCACACCGGCCACCGTCGCAAGTCCTTCTGCTGATATTGATGCCAGCGCTGGCGTTGACGTTGGCAAAGGCGGAGGCGCTGGCTTACCTGGAGATGAGGATGATGACGAGCTTTGAGCTCTTGCGCACATTGAACCAGAAGAGAGCCAACGGGGCCGAGTAGATGATGAAGATGTTACCCCACAATGACATCTGCGTCATGGCGCCGGTGCCGTGCAACAAGGGAGGCGGGAAGGAAAGACGGCGCTGCCCTCTCTTTGCTGTTCCCTGGTACTGGTGCCAAATGACTGACACAGGCAAATGATATAACTTTGTATATAACTGCACAAACATATCCTAATGTTCTTATATAGACTGCAATAACTCTCGATTTCGCTACGTAAGTCAAGGGTACATCCACCGACAATAACACATTCCAAGCCTCTTTAGTGCTACCAAGTGTTACTTGCTCAAAGCGGTCTCATCCGCCCCTTTTGTGTGTCTTGTGGTCCTCTCCCTGCTTCTCTCTCTGTCTCTGACTCTGTCTCTGGCTCTGTCTCTATCTCTCTCTGTGCTTCTCTGTCACTCTGTCTGTTTCTGTGTCTCTGTCCCTTTGACTCTCTGTCTGTCTCTCTGTCTGTCTCTCTCTCTCTACTTTTCTGTTTTTCGCGCTCTCTCTTTCTCTCTCTGTGTGTGTGTATGTCTGTCTCGGTCGCTCGGTCTTTGGCCTCCGACTGGCTCAGAGGTCGTGCCGAGTGATTCGTGTTGTGTAACACTCCTGCTGGCTCAAGGTCGGTTCGGCTGCGTGGCGGGGCGTGCAGGGACTTTTGTTGATTGGAGATGAAATAGGGGAGGGGTAGCACGGCCGTCATCACACAGCGTAGGGCGTTGGACTTTCATTCGCTTGGAGCGCATTCATCAGCATCCGTAAGATCGTCTTCAGACCTCATCCAGAGGGACGGGGGTCCTGCGCTTCTGTTCCGCCCTCGTTGCGCGCCGGCTGGTCTCCTTAGGTGGTGGCGGCTTTGTACGCTTCATGTTACCCCAGTCTATCATCATCCACTTCGAGCCGAGACCTGGCGTTACACCTGCCCCAACCGACACTCAGCCAGAGCGCTCCGTGGCCTCACGCACGCGCGCATCTTGGTGGCGATCAAGCTAGCAAAACCGAATGCGCTTGACCTCTGAAAGTGCACCCCCGCTGGCCTGGGATCACATTGATCGGCTTGTGCTGCAACCGCTTTTAGCCTTGCCTATAATCCCCGAACCCGCGATGGCCAGCAGCTCGATGCAGCACAGCCACGGCCAGACCTGACAGTTATCAACGCAATTGCATCTTCAGTCGAGCCCAACTTGACGTTTTGCCAAACTGCTGAACCCTTCAACTGCTCGGACATTCTGCACCCTTGGATCTTGGGCTTACTTCCTACTTGGAGAGAAGCAAGGAGGCCTTTTGTTCGTCGATGCATTTGTGCGCTGTTCCCTGATTTGTCTCTTGCGAGCCCACCCCACCTGCAAGATGGGGCAGACCGACTCCAAGTCGACGGGCATGCAGCGCCGGTCATCCGTGTCTGCCTTTCTCCCGAGCCCCAAGACTGACATCACTTCCATGGATCAACGCACTGCCGATCAAAAGTTTGGTCTAGCCTACATGCAAGGTGAGCCCAACACACCTGCGATTGCAGCGGCCTTCGCATGCGTATCTGCCTGTCAAGACTTTTGCTTCGCCCTGCGCCGCGGTACCCGCCCCCCTCCCCCGCCTCATCTTGGCTTCCTGGTATTTCCGTGTTCTTGACAAAACAGGATGGCGGGCCCACATGGAGGATGCTCACATTACTCAGCCCGAGCTACCAGGCCTTCCTGGCTGGTCCTTTTACTCTGTTATTGATGGCCATGCAGGCGCCGAGGTGGCCCATTACTCGGAAGACCATTTGCTAGCCTCAGTTCTCTACGAACTTTTGCCCGTTAAGGATAGTCTGCATGCCATCTCCGACGCCATGCACCGAGCTTTCCTGCGCCACGATCGCGCCCTGTTTGCCGACAATAAAGTCCGCCTCGACAACTCGGGCGGCACTTGTACCAGCGTTCTCGTCAGTCCAACCCACTACATCTTTGTGAACCTAGGCGATTCGCGCTCCCTCCTCTGCCGGGGCGGCAAGCTCGCGTTTCAAACCCGCGACCACAAACCCATCCTACCCCAAGAGCGCACTCGCATCCGCAACGCCGGCGGCTTTGTCATTAATGGTCGCGTTGACGGCGGCCTCGCCATCTCTCGAGCCTTTGGTGATTTTGATTACAAGCGCAACCCGCAGCTTGGCGCCCTCGAGCAAAAGGTCGTGGCCGACCCCGACGTCACCCTCGTCGAGCGGGATCTAGAGCACGATGACTTTCTCCTTCTTTGTTGTGACGGCATCTTTGACGTCATGAGCAATGCGACTGCCATCAAATTCGTGGCCACCAAGCTGCGCCGTTCTCCGGACAATCCCAAGGCTGTTTGCCAGGCCCTGCTGAAACGATGCCTAGAGCTTGGCTCCCGCGACAACATGTCCGCTTGTCTGGTCGTCTTCAACAAGGAGTTCCTTCAAGCCACCCACGTGAGCAGCGCCGAGGAACGCCCCGCTGAGCAGGCATTGGACGGATTAGCCACCTCTGTCGCCTTCAACGCCATGGCATCGGCTGTGGCAGAGATTGTCAACCAGCATGGCAGCCCAACCTCTTCTCGCAGCGCATCAACCAGTGCCGCTGCAAACGGCATCAGCCCGCTGCGTGAGATTCCCGTTTTTGACATGGAGGAAGCCCACCCAAGCGGTCTGCACACAGTCATGGAGGTGTGTACATGTGTGCATGTGTGTTCATGTGTGCACCGTGTTTGTGTGCTGGGATGGCAATGAGAAGAAGCGTCCGTTGTGAAGAATGGGTGCCAAAGCAATATTCAGAAGGGAGCGACATATCACAGCTTAAACGTTGCATGCGCCACACACCTGCTCATGTTTTGATTGGGGCGGGCTGCCTTACAGGGGGAGGATGAGAGCGAAAGCGATGCTGGCTCCACGCCGTCTCCCACCCCAACCTCAAGTGATGCTGCGTCAGGGACAGAGGTTGCCGTTGAACATGTCAATGACATGCAAGAGCTCGTCAAGCAGGCATCACAGTCTTCTCTATGTATGTGGTCTTGAGATACTTACCTGTGCTGCTTGCTTTGACTGACCCAGCGTGGCTGGTCGAACTTTTTCGGATAACTGTGTGCTTTTCCTTGACTGGGCACGGTGCTGAATGTTTTGTTGTTGTGGTTGCTGCCATGACCTTTTCAATAGCTTCAGCCTCGAGCGTCGAATCAGAGTCGGCCGGCGGCGTCATGACGGTTGAACAAGCTTGAAGCTACAGCGCGATCCCGCTAAACAGGTGCTCAGTTCAAGCTAGACGCGGCTTCTTCTTCTTCTTCTTTTCTGTTGCCTTAGGTTTTTATTGTCTTGTCTGCTTTTATCTCGGAAGCCCTTGGTGTGTAGGCTACCCCCCTTTTTTTCAAGACAGGCTGTCCGCTGTTAGCCTTATCTTTCACCTTGTATTTCATGGAAAAAAGACGACTCTTGCTGTGCTTTCAAACCACCTTGGTTTGTTGGTTGGGGGTCGGGGTCTTGTTTCCCCCAGCATTCATGAAGCGGCGCAAATTCCATGTGTGCGTCACATCCCTGGAAACTGACGCCCAACTCTTGCGCATCGTGCTCGTCTTAAATGCATTCTTGTTGGCACGGCTGTGACTGCCTGATGATCGAATCTTGAACACACGGAAATCGATGGACATCTCAAGTTGCTGGCATCATTTCCTCCACTGGCGACGGCGGCGCAAAAACGTAGCCAGAGCAAAACGGCAACCAAAGCCAATACGGAAGAAAATGGGCTTGTCCGATCACACAAAGCCAACAACACAAGACTTGCTCATCGGCAAACAGGCCTGACAAAATCCAACACACAGAACAAAGTAAAATAGACAAGCCAAGATACACAGCAAAGAGCACTCAAAAAACTCATCAGTATGGCGCGGCTCAACTGAGTGAGGCGAGGTGCTTCCTAACAGTCAAAAGGCCTCCAAGGAGAGTTTAGGATTCTGGAAGACGTGGTACTTGAAAGTACATGATGGTAGTGTCCTCGCTGACGGAAAGAATACCAAAACCGTCCCTACAGCGACATACCAGTCAGAAGAAAAAAAAAACCCCCCAACAGACACAGAAGAGGTGAATACTGTGTGTTATTGCGGGCCGCCACAATACGAAACCAGGGGTTCAAACGACAGCATGGCATGACGCACCGGCTGATGTCAAAATCGAGGACGTGATTGCGGTGCCCCACACACATGTGCAACTGCTCGCCCGTACGGCCATCCCACACGCGAATGGTGCCGTCGACGGAGCATGAGTACAGCACCGGCAGCGTAGGATGCCACAAAACCTTGACAACCGGCCCCTAACCCAAGGAAGAGGAAGCAAGGTGAGAGGATGGAACTCAGGAGCGTTGTACAAAGGCAACCGTAGAGCACCCAGCAGGGTGTTGAGGCAACGGTGGTCCGGAGTGGTGCGCTAGTGGTGCAACAAGCAAGCTAATGTGTGAGCATGCGAGTTGATCTTTAGCTCTGACCTCATGCTCCAGAGTTTGGCGAAGCTCGTGATGGTCAACGGTGTAGATGAAGATTTTGCCATCGAGGCCACCGGTGGCCAGAAGCGAGGGCTTGGAATGGGAAAAGGCCACTGTTTCGACATTGTCGCCATGGTTTTCAAACGAGAAGAGCACGCGGTTGTTTTTCAGATTGATCAGCTTAACGGCTCCCTCGGCGCCACCAGTAGCCACCAGCGTGTTGTCCTCATGGCAAGCGACAGCGGAGATGGGGCACTGATGAAACATGTTGTCTCGTCCATCATACTTGCTGACAATGTCTTGGGTCTTTGGCGACCACTGGATGAGCGTGCCATCCTCTGCAGTCGTGAGAAATCCACGCCCAGATGGCAGCCAGCAGCCTTCTGTAATGGCATCCTGATCACATTGATCAACGCCAAGAGCAGCACGCGAGAACACGATGAGAGAAGCGAGCACAGGTGTGTGGTTGAGCGTTGGCCATGGGCGGATTCGAGAAAAAAGGGTCCCCGTACCGTGTGACCACTGAAGTAGGACATGCTACCACCAGGGACGGACCACATCATGACGGCACCAGCCGCATTGCCAGCGAGCAGGAACTTGGCGGAGGGATGCCATTGCAACCACTGATTGAAAAGACAAAGAGGCGTGAGAGACGAGACACCTGGCAAAGGAGAGCCCTGGCTTGTGATGGCAGGGTCATCGTGAGAACTCGCGAACCTTGAGATCGTCGCCACAGTCAAACGAGACAACTTCCTCGCCATCATTGACATTCCAAATTCTGAGCGATACCAGAACAGAGAGGACAACGGTGTGAGTCAGGTGTGTGGTATTGAGCGTGCAAGGCAAATGTGAGTGGCAGACTGACTTGATTTCGCCATCCATGGCTCCGGTGGCCACATAGGCACTGTCGGGCGAAAAGCCCACTGCAGTCACGCTGTCCTTGTGACCTAATTTTGAGGGTTGTTTCAAACGGCGCCATGTCAGATAGAAAATACCAGCTCCGGCGCAAAGTAGGAGCAAAGAGAAGGGGGGTATAGGAAGAACACTCACCTTTGAGCGTTTGCAATGGCTGCCAAGTCTCAAAGCTCCACACGAGCGCCAGGTCATCTTGACCACCCGTGACGAAGAACCTCTGGGACTTGTCGATGGCCAAGCAAAATACGGCCTCTGTGCGTTTTGCCCAAAAATTAGGTACGGCCAGGTCAACAGGAGCAATTGAGAAATGCGAGCTCAATGAAGTTGCATATATGTTGCAGAGGAGCAGAGTGTCAATCAGCTAGGGCACTTGAGTGGGCATACCAGCGTGGGCCTGCATAATGCGAGAGGCATTGTTGCCGCGATCGGGCACTGCACCCTCATCAGCCACCTCCATGCCCATGTCGTCGTCGCCTTCTTCATCGTCTTGGTCGTCGTCCATGCCCTCCATTTCGTCGTCATCCTCATCGTCGTCGATCGGGGCCTCGCCTGAGCGTCGAGCGGCGACATGATGTCAGCTCACATGAGGTGGCACTCGCCCCATACATTCCTGGCTGCTCAGCTCTCACTCGGCCTGTGACTGGAGCATGAACAGAGAAGTCCCATGATCAAGCAAGGCAAGCAGCTGTGGTGCGTACCGTCTTCGACATCAATGACCTCAAGAACGTCTTCGTCACGGATATCCTCGCCAGCTGCGCTCACGGCGCTCTCCTCGTTGTCAGCCATATCGAAAGTTGGGTGGAGCAAAAGCTAAAGGCTGAAGTTAACACGAGCAACTGCCTGGCACACGTGTAAGGAAAAAGCCATGGTGAGTATGCAAGCCCAGCCCAAGGGGTCACTATCGACAGCTGACGTGGCCAGCTCCGAGCGACCATCCAACGAGAGGAACAGCAACAGCGACCATCATGCATGAAGAAGGTGGGGAGGGGGGAAACAGAGTCTTGAACCAGCCAACGAGAGGAGGCCGATCATGGAGAAATGTGTCTTCCCCTTCCACATCCCCACACCCCTCTTCCAGCCCGCCGACCACCATCGACGACGACGACGACGACGACACGACCATGACGGACGAGCTCACCTCTTCAATTGAGTGTGTGTGTGTGTGTGTGTGTGTGTGTGTGTGTGTGTGTGTGTGAAATCCCCGTCACTGCTGTCGACAGGGCCAATGTCAGCAGGACACGTGCTTAAGAACCAGACGAGTCAAAGTGTAACTAATGTAATACTTTATGGCAATAACCCCACGCTGGGTCGCTTGCCATGCGGTAGTAACCTTGTGAGCGGCTTTCTTAGTCGTCGTCCGGTCATATGAGGATGATGATGAGTCGAGGTGGCGACGATGGGAGGAAGAGAAGCCGGAGCAAGGTGGCGGGGAAGATGATGGTACGGAAGAGGAGGAGGAGAGGAGGAGGAGAGACTTGGAAAGAAGTTAGGATTGAAGAGCAGCTTGTCGTCAAAAGATGTCCCTGGACGCGTTGATTCACATGTCGGTTGTAAGAAGAGCGATTGCTTGTATTGATTGACCCGTTCCCGTGCTGGAGAAGAAATGAAGCTGGTCGGTGGTGCTGAATGGGTCTTGCGTTTTCGCTTCCTAACGCGTAACCGAACATAACTCGTCCCATCCCTCTTGGTATCTACACATTTTGCCGCCCGCCGCTGCCGGCGGCGCCACCGCCGCTCCACTATTTATGGAAGCACATCCCCACGTTGCAGTCCGACAGCAAGAGAGACAGAGAAACACAGGAGATTACACACACACACACACACAGAAAACGACTGATTCCTTTTGTTCTCGCTTGTTGTCTTGTTGACCTGTCAAGCTGGACACACACACACACACACACACACATCTCCATTCGAAGCACATGCTCGTCCAATAATAGAGAGAGAGAGAGAGAGAGAGAGACGCGCGCGCACACACACACACACACACACACACATTCACACACACTTTGACCTTGGCTTCGTTTTGGTCGACGTCCCGGTAATCAATCGTATCCCTCCTGCCTGGGGATGGGCTTGTTGTTGGCTTCTGCCTGTGGGATGGGCCGTGCTTCTCTTTGTCCCGCGTCGGGCCAGGTGGCAAGCGGCCTAGCGAACCAACCAAAGGACTCATGATGCCTTGCTGTTGGTTTCCCACCCCCGCCCCGCCCCGCCCCGCCCGCGTGTAGGCTTCTCTCCTCCCCTGTGGTCGGGCCTTTGTATCTCTTGCGCGGTTCGCCTCTGCTGAGTTGAGGCCCAGGACATTGACAGCTTCGCCGCAAGTTTTTCTCGTCTTCCATCAGGCGACGGTCCACACAATCTCTCCCGCCAGAAGCTCGTTGTCGTTGTCGTCACTGCTGCTGTCATCGTCACGATGGCCAACCTCGTGCAAACGCTTGAGCGCTGCTTCAGCGAGGATGGCACAGTTCGCAAGGCCGCCGAGGGCGAGCTTGAACAAGTAAGAATCGGCCATCTCGTGCGCCACCCATGCCCGCGTGCTCTTTTCTGGGCCATGCTACATCTCCCACAAGCATGAGACCAGACTCTGGTTGGCGCAACCCGCTTGACCTTTTCCCCCGCCTGCTTAGATGAGCGCCCAGCCTGGGTACAGCCAGGCGCTCTTGCAGATCATCACCTCACACGAGCTTGACGAGCGTGTGAAGCAACTCGGTAAGCTCTCTTTGTCTCGCTGCCAGCCACGCCCTCCTCGCCTGCATGTTTGCACCCTGTGCCGCCAGCCATCTCCCACTCTCAACTTTGGGGCTTGTCCTTTGCTTCACATAGCGAGCGTCATGTTCAAGCAGCTCATCCTCAAGCACTGGGTGGCACTGTCTGCCTACCGTGACGTGTGGGTCCTTCCGGACAGTGAGAAACAAATTATCCGCGACCACATCATTAACGGCATCGTCAACGCGGATGTTAAGCTGCAGTGCGTTCATCCCCTTTAGCCATCCGCAAACCTTGTTTGTTTTAGACGTACAGCTGATCTTGTTGTTCATAGACCCCAGCTGGCTTTGGCTTTTCAGCGCATGATCGATGCCCAGTTTCCCGAACACTTCAACGGTGCGACCCCTACCCTCGTGGTCCTTTTTTTCTGCCCGGTTGCGCTGCACCTGGTCCGACTCACCTTGCTCTTTTTACCATGATCCCCGATCACTCATGAACAGAGTTGCTGGGCCATCTCAGCAATGGCCTTGCCAGCTCCGAGTATGGCGTGCGCCATGGCACGCTGCTGGCCATTCACGCTATCAGCAAGCGCTACACGTGCGTACTGAGCTAGCCGCCGGAGACCAGGCTCTGAGCTTGTGATTGTGCTGCGCTTCTCGTTCTCGACATAGACGCTCACATCCCGGGCAACATGACGATGTTGTGGTTATGCTGATAGTGCTAAGCGGCCGTCCGCTCAGGATGACTTTAATAGTATCATGGCTACGCTGCAGCCGGCTCTGCTGGCCATCCTGCAACTTCAGCCCGAGAACGACCAAGTGCTTACTCTCCAGCACTATGCCATCAAGATTTATTATCGTTCCACCCTTGTACGTGTCTTTCTGATCTTTGTGCCACTACCTCCATGCTCGCACCAAGCTTCACTTGACGCTTGGTGCCATTCACGCTGTTGGTTTCACGCTGCTCGAACCAAATTGCGACAACGCTCGCTTGTAGCTGTACATGCCGGCCTGTCTGTCGACCACCGAGTCGATGAACGCTTGGTACAGCTGTCTTCTGGCGCTCCTGCAAGTGCCATTCACACCGGCCTCTGATGACATGGACCTGTGGCCTCAACAGCCCGTGTGCAAGGTCAAGAAATGGATCGCCAACGTAGGTGCCCACCCGCGTATCCGTGGAGCCATAGCTTTCACCATAAGACAGCCTCAGTGGCTTGAATGGCACCCTTCCATCTCACACTCCTCTGCCACTGGTTTGACATGATCGATGGCAATGTCGAATTTGCAGGTGTTGAACGATAACTTTCGTCGCTTTGGCATTGCGAACAACGTCGAGGAAGCTCAGAAGGACCTTGGCATCCACTACCGCGAGCATTGGGCCCGAGGCGCTCTGCAGGTTTGTTGGTTTTCCCAACTGGACTGGGCATCAACATGCATCAGACAGACAACTCATTCCTTCGCTCAATTCTTAGGCAGCGCTGATGCAGCTGGATGGATACCGCAAGAAGGAGCTGTACATGTCCCAGAAGACACTTCATCACCTGCTGGCCCTTCTGGCGGAGACGATCGAATCCAAGGTTACCTGGAAGGACCTCAAGCCACATGCAATCGAGATCTACTCGACCCTGTGCTTTCCCCTGCTCTGCCACACCCCTGAAATGGAGCAGTTGTGGGAGGAGGACCCGTACGAGTACATCCGCCAGCGCTACGGTATGTTTCCCAAACAGCCTGTGGGCTTTGCTTGTACTAATGGCCGCTCAGACTTGAGCGATCGCTGACTCTTGATGCGATCCGCTTGCTGTAACCATTGGATTTGGTGGTTAGACATCAACCGCGATTACATCTCTCCCATTGCCGCAGCTGGCATGTGCGTTCACACGCTTGCCAGGCATCGGGTATGTGCCTTGCTCCTCACTGGCAGCGACTCTTTTTCGACAATGAGGGCGAGATACGACGGTTCTGTGCTGAATCTTTTCTCTTCCGCTTCGTGCCTGGTCCCATGGGTTGCTTTCACTTGCAGGCGAAATTTGCGCTGCCCAAGATCATTGGCCATGCCTACGAGCAACTTCAAGCGTGAGTTGCCCAGCTTTGCAACTCAGCCCAGGCTTGAGCCTTGTTGTTTCAACCAGTGCGATCCTCATTGACCATTTTGTCTGCAATTGTTGGCAATTGTAGGAATGCCCCAGGGCAAGCTGCTCGTGACCCCAATGTCCAATACGGCGCCTTGAACGTCCTGACCTTGTTGGCCCCCGGGCTCATCAAGAAGAAGGATTATCGTTCGGCCTTGCCGGATGTTCTCAACCAGTTTGTTCTACCTGAGTTGGAAGCCCAAGAGGGCTTCCTTCGAATGCAGGCTGTCTTGTGCCTCAAGGCCTATGCCGAGGTGAGGCCAGCTTGTCCATGACCGGCCTTCGTGCCCTTGCCTCCTCCTGTTGCCTTCTCCTGCTTCCTCTCCACTTGTATCATCATACCACGTTTTCTCGTTCGCGCAGACGGCCCAGTCAGAGGAGTTTGCTGGACGCTGTGCCGAAGCCATTCTCATGCATCTACAGGACGCCGAACAGCGCGTCAGCCTTGAGGCTTGTATGACGTTGCGCCTGTATATTGAGGGCTACAGCTCGATTCGCGACCACCTGCGTACTCACCTCAAAACCATTGTCGAGGTAAGCTGCGGCCGAGAGTGTGTTGGCCAGCATGGTTAACCTAAATATAAGCGAGCATTCATCCTCGTGTCGATGCGCCAGATTATGCTTCAACTGATCAAGGATACGGACAACGATGACTTGACTGACATTTTGGGTCGCTTGATTCAAATTTACGGCGAGCACATGGCCCCCTATGCTCTCGAAATGTCCCACGAGCTGGTAAACGCCTTCATGCGTCTCTCTTCCGGCGATGCCGACAATGAGCTTGAGAGCCACAAGGTTGGTCTTGTGGCACTGCTTGAATCCCAGGGTTGGGGCCAAGGAAACTCGCCGTATTTGGTTGCTTCGTTTGACAGCATCGTCCACTGTCTCTGTACATTCTGCAAAAAATAGACCTTTGCAGCAGCCAGCGCCGTGGAGGCGCTGCGTGAGTTGGTCTCACTGTATGCTGAGAATGCACCTGAGAACCAAGAGCCCTTTGATGCCGCCGTGGTGCCCGTCATTCAATCTGTCCTCGAAGGCAACAAGGAAGATTTCATGGAAGAGGCGTTGTCGCTTGTGGCTACCCTGACCCAAACTCGCGTCACCGACACCATGTTCCCCGCTCTGGGCGCGATGCATAAATGCCTTGCCTTTGATCAAGGCTCTGACTTTTTCCAAGAGCTGCTCCCACCACTCTACAACTTCATCAAGAACGCATCCGAGCGTCTTTTGCATGAGCCCGACTACCTTCCCCTCATCTTTGAGATGGGCCGCATTGGCTTTGAGCGTCATGATGACGCTGATACACAATGGCATGCCGCCAAGTACATGGAACTGGTTCTGGGTTACCTCGGCGAGCACGTTCCCGAGGCCGTGGTGCAGCAGTATGTGGGCCTGGTGGCCACGCGCCTGTTTGGACAAGAAATGCCTGAGGAGCCGTACCTGGTCAACATCTGTTTCAATGTGATCTTGACTGCTCTTTTCCATCGGCCGGCTTTGGTTGGTATCTTCTGGGGCGGGTCCATCCCAAAAGCATCCTCCCCATCCTCTGCTTGACCCTTTGTCCACCGGTTGCCTGACCTCTCTGCCGTTTGGGTGAACGACTTAGGTCTTGAGCACGCTAGATTCCATCGTGCGGGCTGATGGCCGGAGCTTGACGACCACCTTTTTCGCCACCATGTCCTCAGAGCTCGAGCATTACCGAGGTCTTCACAACCGGTATGTATCCGAGCCATTCCGCTCTGAACCGCCCCTCTTCACCAATGTCTGCTGGCCACTGCTCTCCGGCAAGGGCTGCACACGGTTGTGCACCACAACTCACAGCTCGCTTTGTATCGGGCTCTGCTTCATGCTCAACACAAAAATCATTTCCAACTTAGTCGGGTGGGTATCTTAACCATTGTGCGTCTGTTGCACTTGGGCTCGAGCAATTTGCCAGCCAGTCTGCAGCCCATCTACACTCAAATCATGACCATGTTGCTCAAGTTGTTTTCGGCGCTGCCCGAGGCGTATCGAGCTCACGCTGAAGAGTATGCGGATGATGAAGAGGAGGGCGATGAGGAGGCTCTGACCAACTTTGCACACAGCCTTAGCAATCGTACGTTGCTCAGACGCCTTGGCTGAGAGACACTGACGTCGTCAAGGGCTTCTTTCTTTCTTTTTGCCTGCTTATGGCGCGTCTTTTCGTTGCAGCGATTGATCTCCTGGATCATTTGGAGGAAGACGGTGATTGCGGTGACGAGGACGTTGACTTGTCTGCGGAAGAGCTCAAGCTCATCCAATCCTTGGCGCAGGTATGCTTGTGCAGCACGCTTCGAGTGCCCTTGCCTCTGCGTCGCGCTTGAGCTCTGGTACAAGGCATCTCATGGTTACCTGGCTTGAATACTTTAGTATGATACGAGTGAGCAGCTGAGCGATGAGACAGATGCCGCATATTTTGGTGACTATGTTACACCCCTGGACGATCAGGAGGAGTATGACGAATACAAACTGTTGCTGGGTTTGCTTGAGCACACGGCAACTCAGGATCAGCCCTTGCACGGAGCTCTCATGGCTGCGTGCCAAAACGAGGAGGCACAGACTTTGCTAGCCAACATTCAGGAGGAGGCGCGGCGTCGGGACCAAGTTCGGGAGTCCAAGCAACTCAAGGAATCTGGTGGTTATCAATTCCCAACTCAAGTGAATCTGCCCAACACCTTCAGCTTCAATTAGTCATGCTGACTGGTGTCACCTGATTTGCCTTTTGGCCCAGCTTCTCCTGCCCCTTTCTCCACTCGTGTTCGATTTTTGTTCTTTTGTTGTCGTTGGGTCGTGGATATATGTACGAGTTTGGGCTAGAGGGTAGCACAAACGTGTTTTTGGTTTTTTTGCCCTTCTGTCGACCATGTTCATGCGCGTCGGCGCCTTGGGGATTTGTCTCAAATATTGATAGGGATTCATTGTCATTGTTGTTGTTGTGCCTTGGTCTTGGAACAAATCCGAGACTCAGGGCTCGCCCAACCTTCTCGTGACACCTTGCAGCGCTGTTGAACCGTGTTGAACGACTGCTGATTGTGCGTGCGTTTCGAGTTTTTGATGGACCTGGTCCGCTCAAATTACATTTGTTTCCCACCTCATTTTTTTTTGCTGCACAATGTCATCTGTCAAATTTACATGATGGATCAACAGCATGGCGGCACAGGATGGCGCAGAGGAAAGGGGCGATCCCGTGGTCGGGCGCTCGCTTCTGCAGCACCTGCTGTGCAAGAGCAAATCTCCAATCAGAGACATGCCAAAATGAAGACAGCTCGCTTGGCTTACGAAAGGAAAGGCGGGCTCTGGCAAAAAAAAAAAAAAAAAAAAAAAAATTGGAAAGAAGGACATGCGATTGCCGTGCTACCAAGCGAAACTTCAGGCCACGGAACAAGTCGGGAGAGCCGGCGCACCGAGTAGATGCGTGAGTCAGTTGTTCTTCATGACATGTAGACCACAGAGAAAAAAAGAAGAACAAATCACAAATCACAATTCACAAGAATACAGCAAGGAGGACACGCCTTGCGGGCCCTTGGATCTAAAAGAAGCGACACAATTGCAAAAAAGAGAAGACAAAAAGAAATGTGTTTCAAACTCCAAGCACACCGGCGCTGACACAGGACAAACAACCACACTTACACGCGCGTGATAGACATGAAGAATGAAGAGAGGCAGCCAAATGGAGCGCAATTTCGGTGTGATGAAAAACAAAGGAAAACAAAGCAAGCAAACTGAACAGAAGAAAAATAGGTCTTTGTGGCGTGGATGGGAGTCGAAATAGAAAAAAAAGCAAGCTCAAATGCAAACTAGGGCAACGCAATGCACGCGAACAAAAGAAGGCTAGTCATTCGTGGGGCATGACATGACGGGGTCATGACAACGCATAGGAATGGGCAGGGCAGTGGCGGGGCAATGACGTTGATTTAAGTCGAAGGAGGACGGCAGCCATTTCAAAGCTTCTTAGTGGCATCCACAGCGCGCTCTGTGGGCAGCTGCTGTTTGGCCTTGCGCCACAAGAAGATTTCCTGTTGCTTGAAATACCTCCGATCCTTGAAAAGGAGAAGAATCGGATGCCAATCGAGGGAGGGAGGAGGCGTGAGGTTGAAGAAGACGAAGCTCAGATGCCTTTAATGTGTTTCCACATGTATATGGAGGAAAATCAGGCCAATGGAGCGTCTTTGAGAGAAGTGGATTGGGTCATACCTCTTCATCAACGAGGACGAGGTTGAGATAGTAGCGGACTTGGAAAGTCTTGCTGGCATCGCGCATCGTTGGGCTGAGATCAAAGCCGGCCAGGAAAAGACGAATGGGAATGGTTTCACCGCGCACGGGAGCACCGTCCATGATTTCGTATTTCGTGATGGTCTCGGTTTCGTTGTACACATTTTGGCCTGTCCCGAGACGACGTGAGGGCGAACGATTGGCTGGAGGACTGCGCAGCACGGTGCAGCACTACGCGGGCCAGTGTTTCTCTAGCGTACCTGATCCGGCAATCTCGCGCTTGATGATGGCCAGCTCCATGTATTTGAGCTTGATGCGGACGAGCAAGAAATAAATTTTGCCCACAATCACGTCTTTCAGGTGGTACCTGTTGGTAAACAGGTTGAGCAAAGTGAGGGCCTTTGCTCGGTCGAAACAACGAAACCATTGCTAGGGATTGGCGTTGGGCCACGTACTTGGCACGGTTATATTCAAACTCAATGTGAAGCGAGTCTTCGATGCCGACCTCCATCTTGATGCTGTGCCACCAGCAAATAGCAAATGGGAGCAGGTGCCATGAGCGTTGATTTAGGCCAACAAAAGCGGCTCAACCAGAGCGTGGCCCTGATCGGGTCTGGTTTGCACCCCTCCTTCCCCATGTCGAGCCAAGAAAAGGAATGTGGATACAGACCTGCCGTTGACTTCGGGGTAAGAGGAAAGGGTGTGTACAGCCAGGTCCTTCTCCTTGACAATATTGCTGATGCGGCGCATGATGGTGACTCGCACAAAGTAGCGTAACCGCACATTGACACCCTTGTAGGATTCGTAGGGCTTTTCGGCCTTGTCAAATTTGAACTCAAAGGTTTGGTTCTTCACCATATCGCCAGGCGCCGCCAGCTCTTTGACCAGAGACGTAAATGCCTGATGGTTGCCACGATCGAAGAGCATCTCTACCAGAGTTGAATCGCAAGTGGGTGGTTGAGCGTGGTGTGGGGCAACTAATCATTCCTCGCCGAGAACACAGGCGTACGGTTGCGCAGGATGGCGCATCAACACTTGATTCATCGAAAACACGGAGCCTCGTAATTTGGACACACCGGTTTGCCCAATAAATTCGACCTTGATGCCGTAGTGCTCCAGTTTTTTTCCCGGATTTTTCAGACTGATGGTGACCTATGTGCGTGGTGCGCATGCGTGCATGTAGACAGGCAGATCAGAGAGGGCCAGGATGAAAAGCAACACAAAAAAAAAAAAATATTGTCATAACCAAGCATGACAGATTACAAGAGCAAGCCGGGGACAGGCTTTTTGGCTCAAGATTGTCGTTTGGCGGTCAAGTCAGGTGGGCAGGGATATCCTACCTTGCCAGAGATGTCTTCACCATCGTAAAACAGGGGCTGCTGCTCGACCTGTCCGTTCTCGAGGGCAAATGGCACGCGCTTACGCTCGGGGACGGCGTTGAGATCAATCTTGATGTCAGCCGACTGGCCAAAGCCGAAGAAACTCTACGGCAGTATGACACCAAATAAGGGGCGATCGGAAATCGGATTCCAGTGCTAAAACTTCCAAAATACACCCACAAGGGAACAAAAAAAGCTCAACGCCGAGCCGATGGACGAATGCGGCATACCGCCATGATGCCCGGTGAGGAGGTTGTCGATGAGCGGCGACTGTAACGCTTCAAGTAAAAAAATCAAAAAAACCCGGAGGTCACGTTTGCTTGATTCAACCCCCAACAGTCGCCCGAGGCATCAACTCTGGACCCCAAGCTAGAGTCAACCACAGCAACATCACCCAATGAGTCACATGCCACAGGTTTTAGACACCAGCAGAACCCCCCTCGCCTCACGCCGCCAGCCAGGAGCAGCGCGACCCAGGCCACAGCTCCAGCCTTGCGGGCTGCTCCCCTCCCTTCGCACACTCTCCAGTCTCGGTCCCGGTCGCACGTACAGAACAGCAAATGACAACAGGAGAACAGAGAACATGGAGAACAAAAGAAACAAGATTCCCGCTACCAAGTGTGATCATTCGGCGTGCCCTTTGCTTTGTCCTCTTTGTACTCTCTGAATTGCTTTCAAGCCAATGCTTCCCGCCACAGCTTGGTTGAACCTTGTTAACATGTCAACTTGTGCAGCTAGCTGACCCGACTCTCGGGGACAGGTGTCTTCGACGGCAACCCCAGCAGCATTACCGTACTCCAAAGCCTTGTTCATATCGTGTCAATTACTCGATAAGCCATCCGAAATCATACAAAAGACTTGCCATTCCCGAAAGTCAAAAGAGAAGTCAAGATTAATCAGGGAACGCACGGGCACTCGGGAAGAAAGGGGGGTGCCAACAACAACATACGAGAAAACAAAGGCCACGGGCACGGCCAAAGCAACAGATGATACAGGAGCGATGGAAAGCGCGCAGCGCTTGATCGTACAAAGCGGGTTCATAGTATGAATCCCGGTGCACAACGCCCACAACTCGAGATGAAAATATCTGGATGCACACTCTTCCCAGTCGCACAGCAACGGGTAAAGGCGGGGAAAAATGGCGGAGAGGCCGGGTGCAAAACAAAGAGAACAAAACATCACTCTCAAAAGCCCTCAAAACGCTGAGCAGATTGCAGTACGGTCTGCCGCACATGGTGGCGAGCAATATGAAAGGCAATCTATCCACCACACCGTCATGTCCAGCGAGCCAGCCTGTGGTGAGAACGCGCAAAATATCGAGAACAGAGAAAGAGGGCAGTGCTTTGCACTCACCCGCTTGCGCCGAAAGTAAATCAGCAATGATGCCGCTATGGCAAACAAGGCGTAAAGAACCACGGCCAGAATGGCAAAGGTCTCATTCTCTCGGTGTACGCTCGCGCATGGGTCCTCTGTGCTGGCAGCAGATCCTATTGCAGGCCCTGTCAAATCTAAAAACAAGACAACCCCAGCCTGGTCAGCAGCTGAAGGTTGTGCACCAGCGCGGAGGCAATGCAACGTACCCAGTACTTGAGCGCTCCTGCATGCGCGTGCACCGCTGGATGAGGTCAGGCACACTTGATAGGCGCCTGGCATCATGCCCTCAAAAGACGCCACCACTCCAGGCGTGGCACCACCTAAGAGCCAACACAACCCGGAGAAAAGACAGTTAAAAGTTGAAACCTATTGCCTTTTTGAACAGCTGCCAGGTGGGAGCGGAAGCGTCATACAAGAGTGGCAGTGCATATTGCCCATACCACAAGAGGCTTCCACGGTCGTCAAGGAGTCGTCAGCTGCCAAGCGCATACGCCCAGTCGGTACAGCGGCAGTCGACTCTGCATACAAGACTACATCCGTGTCACTCAACGGCGAGGCCTGCGAATTCGGTAGTGACCTCGTTACCAACCAAGTCACGCCATCGTAGACGAGAAAAGGTGCCTCGGCTGCCTCATCACTCGCCAGGGCTTGCCGGTACAGCGGCCGACTGTTCCAGCGGCACAGCGTGGTAGTTTCAATCGACGCACCAGGTGCACAGGCACGCTCATACTCGCCCAAGACGGCAGCCACGTCCGGTGAACCCACGCGTCCGCGGTTTGTTAGGCGAACGCGTGGGCAGGCGACCAAGGTACCATTTTGCCACTGGATGAAGCAGTGCGAGGCCAGCATGACATTTGTCCCATCCACCTCGCGCAGGAGCACACACGCTGTCGGCAGAGCACTCGACCAGGTCACGACCACACTTGTGGTATTGGTGGCAGCTTTACTGATCACGGGCATTTGGGCACGCGAAGGAGTGTCTACTGTGAGTGCGAAAGTGAAATTGGACGCAGTGGGCGGCATGACTGGGAGCGTCAGGTTGTCGAACGCCCGCTGCCAACCAGCGACATCACTGATCACCACCTTTGAAATCACTGCGGCCGATGCCTCAAAGCGCACCGCTTGGCTCGACATGTCCAGCATACACGCCTCCGGCTCGTGACAATGAATCTCGGTCAGGGCCTCAGAACTTGAAAGGCGTGTACCGTCGCTAGGCACATGCACACCTCCCAGCACGGGCCGCGTCAAGTCAAGTTCACGCTCCACTGTATGCATGGCACCGGGTTGACCAGCAGCGTCCACGGCACGGGCCACCACCGTGATGCGCTCGTCTGTCAACGCGGTTGGGTAGGGAAAAGCCTGAGCACCCGACACACACGTCGATCGGACGTCTGTGAGAGCCGGGAAGCTACTGGTAGCTGCACAAGCACAGCGTGTGAGCTCTGGTTCGTGGCAATCGAGCGCGCAGACATCTGGACGACATCGCAAGCACCGTGATAGGCACGCAGGCCCCGCGCAGCACTGCAAAGCCACGCCCGCTCCCGCGGGCGCTGCTAGCTTGAAAGTGCTGCTAACCCATCCCATGGGAGACACTGTCCATGAGCCCAGCATGACAGCGCCTTGCCAGGCGCTCCATGTTGTTTCCCCACGGATAAACGCCAGCATGGTAGCTGGGGACAGAACAATGCTGGAGCGCACATTGAACATCAACCATTCGCCGAGATCTTCCATAAGCATACCCGTCTGCGTTTTGAACAGACGTAGTGAAAAGGCCCCCACCCATGCAGGAACGGCCAACTCAATGTCCAACGCCGTCACGTTTCTTCTCTGCAGTGTCACGCGTCCCCGCGTAGACGCCGCTGCGGCGTTGACAAGCGTCACGTTTTGAGATGCAGCAACGAACAAATGCCGAGGCCAAGTGGAGTCAAAGACCAACACGGCCTGCACCAAGGGATCTAGTTGAGCATCGCTCAACGAGGGCGCGCCCAGCTCCACCGCAACCGACAAATATTGCCAAGTGTGACACGCTGCGGTGGACGTTTGCATCGTGCTTGGAACCCCCGAGGCGTCGCTCCTCGTCCCATCGCTGCTCGACGTAGTGGCCCGCGCGCAGAAACGTTGGTGCCGCTTCGTCGATCGGGCTCGGAAAGGGCTCTCACAGCCTTGCCACTCGATTGGTGCTGCATTTATTGCCGATGAGCTCGCACCCTCTGACCATGCACACTGGAGGCCATCTCCATTGCCCTCAGCCTGGATGGAGAAATGATCGGCCAAGCTGACGCTGGGAGGCAGAGAGTCTGCTGACAAGCGAATCCACAGATCCTCGCTGCGATACTGCCACCACAGTGCAGCTGGCGTTGGCGGCACGTTGCCTGCAGCGTCACGAGCCAAGACCGAAACAGTGATGTTGGCCGTCGACGCATTCAACTCAGCGAGTGCGGATGATGCGAGCAGGTGCTGTTGATCAGCCGGAACCAAGTCCGCCAGACTGGCAGGAAAGGCACAACTCTCGTAGGCATCGAGCAATGGCATCTGGGCAACGCAAGTGCCTGTGACCGGGTCCTGAGCATCGACGCATGGCAAGACTGTAACGGCACAAATGACGTCACTATCTTCAGATGAAACCACTGCAAGCTGTGTTGTACCCAGATTTGTCAGGCTTGAGGCCCCCACGATGTTGCTGACCAAATCCACGGATGGTGCCGTATCATCAACCACAAAAGACCACTGCACAATGTCGCCAGCGTTCCCGGCTGCATCGACGGCATAGGCCTCAAAGGTATAGGACCCACCTGAGAGTGACAGCCGCGTGGCAGCCGCACAGCTCTCGAATGGGACGGACAGGACACTGACTTCGGCATCGAGCAGTCTACAAAAAAACGTACAAGCATTCGTGGTTTCACCAGCATCGCTGCATAACAGGTCGAATTGAGCCGCCTGGCCCCCGGCTGCGTCGGTGTAGGGCTCGGGCTTGTTGCTCAGCAGAACCTGGGGCGTGACGCTGTCAAACCGGGCCGTCAGCTGAAGCCTAGGACCGGGATTGCCGAGCTGGTCAACGGCAAAGAGTTCGAGGACATGGATGCCATCTGAGGCACACAACGCAGCAACAGGCACGAGCAACCCGGCTACCATGGCCGAGGCTGGCGTGTCTGAAGAGGTCACTTCTTTGGTGCATGGGTTCGCGTGTAACGGCAATGCCACGGTCTGGGAATCTGAGCCAAACCAGTCAAGGACCAGGATGGGGGCGTCGAGGCTGCAGCTTGACATGGCAGTCATCTCCACCCACACCCGAATCAAATCGTCGGCCTGCACTTGTCCGCCTTGCACCAAGGCTGCCGCTTGCGCTTCGGCAGTCAAATCCATTCCCGCGGCAACGACATCAGGAAGGCATGTTCGAGCGCGGAATGCGAGCAAAGGGCCGGCTGTGGAGCTGCCAGTGCAGTCGATGTTCGCCAAGGTGGTCAGAGGAACGGGACAGTTCGCGCCGCTCTGACGAGCTTCCAAGACCTCATCAAGGAGCACACTCAAATCGTCGAGCCAGGCAGCCCCCAGCCAGGCAGGAGCTGCTTCGTCATTGTTGACGCTGGCACAAACAAAAGAGGAGTAGCTGGGGTGTAGCCGTGCGTGTAGCGTTTGGATGGCGTAAGGAGTTGCCTCGGCTGATGCTGTGGCAGCCGCTGGCGTGGCATGAACATTGTCGTCGGTGGCCCATGAAGAATTGGCAATCGCCTCAAAACGGGCGCGAGCCGCAGTGAAAGCATCAAAGGACCGCGGCGCTGTTACATTCAGCGTCTCGCGGCGCGTATCCAGGTGTACTTGACAAGTGCTCTCTGTATGTCAAACGCAAGGCCAAGCAATAAATGAGCATTGGTCGGTGGGGGTAGTATTGCTGATGAGCAGATGGATGAAGCGATTCGTCGATCAAACCATGTCTTTGGTCCCAAACATACCGTGTGACACTGCCAGCATCAAGACTTGGACTTGAACATGGGTATCGAGATCGATGTGCCTGGTGGGTTCCACGGTAAACAGCTGGCATGTGAATAAGCCTGAATCGTGCACGTATAGCACCTGCAAGGCCGCACAAGCAAGCTGTCCAACACAAGCTCGCACGCAGTCTAGAGCGGTATCACCAAGCGCCAGGGTCCAGCTCAGGAGCAAGACGCCACTGTCAGTGGTAGGCCAGGCTTGCCAGGACGGAATGTGCGTTCTGGAGGCTAGGTATGGCCAGAGCAGCCCATCCTCGCGGGAGCTGGCTGTCTCCGAATCGGTGTCCGGGGTAGTGTCTGATGTTAGCCGCACCAACTGCACTTTGCGCGGAGAGCCAAGATTGGCGGCTGCCGGATGCAGCGAAGCCCACAGCGTCCAGCTGTCAGCGTCCCCCAGGCGTCCGAATATCTGAGCGTGGTATTCGAATGGGGCCGGATTAAGCTCGTAGCTGGCTCCCACGGACAGAGCAACACCGGCACGGCCCACCACGAGGTCAACGTCCTCCTCATCCGTGGTTGTTGCATTGCTTGATAGCAGCGCGAGCATTGGAAGCTGCAGGTCGGCCCACACCGTCTGAGTCTGAGTTTCACCGCGATTCCCAGCCAGGTCCGTGCCAACCACTGTTACTTCGTTAAAGCCGTGCACCAGCAAGTCACCCAGAGCCCGGGGTAGCGTTTGGTCCACGTCGCACCCGAGCAACCGAGTAGCACACTGGCTCCCTGCGGCGCCCAAGCGTGGGTCAAGCGGTGTCATATCCGAGAGGTTGGCATCGCACGCCGGCATATAAATGCAGCGCCCATCGCAAAGAAAGCTACCCGGGCCGCACCACCGACCGGGCAGGGGCTCTGTGTTGACAAGGAACTGAAACGTGGGTGTGTATGTCGTATTGTCCACCACGTTGAGGTCGGGCTCATCAGAAGCCTCGCCGGCCCAAGCAGAAAAAACAGCCTCGGATCCGTTGATGGTGTTGACGCGGGTCGGCGCCACCACGCGCGCTGTGGGCGCGACAAGATCAAGTGCCCAAGCCAATATCTGGGGAACTTCCTGATTGCCGAACACATCCTCGGCTCGCAAAAAAAGCCGCGCTACCCCATTGCCATCAAGGTGCACGGCCAGGGCTTCAGCGCTGTCATCCTCGATGGGAGGCTGAGGCCGAAAGCGGCAGTAGAGGTGCATACCACCCTGAGCCGCCTGTACCCAAAGCGCATCCGCGCTTTGCCGCCGAGTGAGTGCGGCAGTCCATGCGGCGGGCTGTGGTTCGACAGCGGATACTGCAGGAGACCAATCATGGTCATCGTATGTCGCTAAAGTCCAATTGCCCAACACGACAACCTCGCTGGTATCAGATGTGCACCTCCAGCTGGCGTCGGATACAGCGTCAAGGAAGGGTAGGGTAGCGATGAGGCGAGCCGGATCGGCGGCTGCCTCGACCTCGACTGCGAGAACGTTGAAAAGGGGTAGTGTGACAGTGGCATCACGAGACCATAGGGCTGACCGTAAGACGGCCACACCATCAGCATACACGGTGGTGTTGCCTGTGGCTGCGATGTGGAGACGCGTCTGATTAGCCGGGGCGTTGCAGGTCAGCTGTACTGCAAAATCAGGGCAAATTTGTCCCCTCGCCGCCTGATCTTGATTTCGGCACTCTAGCAGGACCTCCCCATGCACTAGCTCGCAAGCTGTTCGCAATTGTACCCCGGCCTGTTCGGCAGGTATAGGGACGCATGCGGTACTGCTGGCAGCGCATTGCGTGCGACATGACCAGGACCAGGGCTCGGCAGTGGCGCCCAGACCGCGGCAAGAGCGACTCTCCACGTCTCCGCCGCCATCTGCAGCGGCGGTGACGGCCGAGGTGGAGAGCCAACCCGTGGTGAATTGGGTTGAATTTGCAAGGCCACCGGTGTAATTGGAGGCCAGTCGGGTGAGGAGCCCAGAGCTGCAGGGGGTGTATTCGTCCCCTGTGGTGGAGCATGCAAACCCGGCATGATAGGCATCGCTTGTGGCCAGCGTGAACAAGAAGCGGGATTCACGCCGGCGCGTCAGGGGCGCGGGGCGACTGAGGATGCGAGTGGTGGGAGGCACCGCCTTGGTGCGCCAAACGTATTCAAGAATAGCTCCTTGCACGTCATGTGGCGATGTGGGGCGCACGCGTAGCTGATGTGCTTGGTCGGCAAGTCCTGTGAGCACCAGGACTATGGCGTTAGCATGGTTTGCAACTCGAGTCTCAAGGTCACTCTGATTGACCAACAACCCAGCCCTAGTCGCATTGTACAAGGGGCAGGCGATCCAGGCAGCTCCATTGAGACTGCACTCAAGACCAGCCACGCGTGAGGCGTTTGCGATCAGCAGGGCCAGCGCGGGCTCAGTCCAGACGCAAAGGCGCTCGGAGTCTAAGAAGCGGCACTCCGCTACCCCTTGGGTCGGACGAGCAGTCGCCGGTAGCAAGGGCTCAAGCACGAGATCTGGTGTCCGCACATCCAGACTAAAGCGATAGTACATGCACGGTGCGGGCTGAGCAACGCTAAGCGCATCAACGGCGTCTGAAGAACAGTCGCCCACGTTTCCGGCATAGTCGCGAGCACGAACGTGAAATTCGTACGCGGCAGCCTGAAGAGCCGCCACCTCGGTGCTCACATCAAAAGCAAAGGGACTGGTGCATGGATCAAACTCAGCCCGGAAGCTAGCACCCAGGCGTTGAAGCCGACACTCAGCCAGGACGTTAGGTTCCAGAGTAGCAAACTCAATCGTTCCGGCCGTGATGGCCGATTGCTGGCGACCTTGGTCAAACAGCGTGTCCGCCGGCACAAGAACTGCGGGGGCTGTTTGATCAAAACGCCAGGTGAATGTGGTCGGCATCAAGAGATTGCCGGCTAGATCCATCGCCGCCAGTCTGAGCCGCACGTTGTTTTCTGAGCTTTGCGCATCTGGAGTCCAACTGCCATACACGACGAGAACGTTGGCATAAATGCGAGACTCGAGCTCCAGCGTGGCATTGGAAACAATTGAAAGCGCGGCGGACCCGGACCACGCGCTGTCGTCGGAAACATTCAGGAGCGCCGTTGGACTGTGTATTGTCTCGGTGGGTCGCCAAAGGGTGAGGATGGTCGTGCGGCGCGTCACCGCAGCCTGTGGAGCAGCAGGGTCATACAGGCGTGGTTGAGCTGCCCAGGTCTGCGTGTAGGCCTCTACAGCCTGAGCGAGCCCTGCGTTGTTAACTGCCGCTGCCAGTTCTTGCTGGGGAAAGCCCACGGCCAATAACTCCAACGCTGGTGCCATGGTATCTGGTGTTGGGAAGCATCAGCAGACGACAAAGGTTAGCGGGAAAATGACGGCCATAGGAAAGCGAGCGTCAAATCAAAACTCGTGGGAGGAGCACGGGCGAAGCGAGATGGCAGACTCGCGAGGCGAGAGCAAAGAACCTGAAGCATAAAACAAGAAACACACCGATGGTAAAAGCGATGCAGGTGGCAGGGCCACAGCCAGCCTCGGTGGTGCAAGATATTAATTGGCCATTGAGGGCAAGGTCCCGCGTCACACGCACACAAAACTCCCGATTTCCGTCAGCGAGGCGTGAAGAGGTTGCAAAGCTGCATGCACACATAGATTTGGCAGGCCCGAGGCAGCAGAGCATGAGAAAAGCGTGAAAAAAACTATGCCACGGCTAGTACAACTGGGTAGAGAGAGAGCCACGCAACGAGTAGGGTGAGAGTAGGTAAGACGTATGAGCAACCTACCTGACTTGAGCACCCGGTTGAGCATCGACACGGACTGATGAACAGGCCATCCAACTTTGTGCGTCAAGCTGGCATGCAAAGCGTCGCTCGTCGGCATTGTTGCTGACGGCGGCAGCCTGAGATGAGGCGTCGCCGCTCACGGCTTCATGAAATGCAAACCGCAGAGCTGATGGTGTGTTGATGGCAAGACCCTCGCCATTGCCAGTGAGGTTGTACGCCACCTCTGATCCATCAGGGGTGGATCGGCCCCAAAACCCGTCAATGACCACCGCATTGAGCGCTGTGACTCTAGGAAGCGTGCACCCGAGCACAACAACAAGGGTGCCCCACACATAGAGCCAACGTCTCGCGACGGGTGCTCGATCCGCGGCCACCACCCGCATGCGGCTCCCCGGCATTCTGCCAACCATCTGCCCACCCACAACAGCAGCGGGTACCAGTCAGACGAAGACCATGCCACCAAGTCCCATGACCACACCGCCTTCGCCGATGCGTCGTCCAGTAGAACCCCAGGGGGCCACCCAAGCCACGAGCAAGCTGTTGAAGGGCACAGAAGGCGGTCGCCCCTCTAAAAACTGCTTGACACACTACAGTCTTGTGTTTGTAGGGGGAAGGGGTGTCTTCTCTCTCTCTCACTCTCTATTTTATCTGACTTTTTTCTTCTTCTTCTCTCTCTCTCAAATCCTGAGCCTCTCTCTCCCTCTCCCTCTCGCTCTCTCGTTCTTTTCCCCTCTCGCTCTCGTTTTCGAGGATAGTCGATGGGGTTGTGTTTGCGGAGAAGCATGGGACGGGCAGTCGTCGTTTGGGTTCACGGTAGAAGCTGGATTGCTGAGAACATAAAGAGGATCTAAGGAGAAGGCTGTACTATTCTTCGCTTGGTCCACGAGTGTTGGGCTGGTACTCGAGGATGTCGTACATCTCCTGACGACTCATGATGACCGGTTCCAGGGCTCGATTGCTGCCGTCGCGTCCAACAGCAAGGAGTGCGCCTTCCACGGCCCGCATGGCTGCTCGAAACAGCGTGACAGGATATAAGACCATGCTATACCCCATGAAACCGAGGTCGTTGATACTGAGGAGTGGCGATTTGCCAAACTCGGTCATGTTGGCCAACAGATGGACATCTGGGTGTGTGGCACGCAGCTCGAGTGCAAACCGCTCAAAGTCTTCCGCCCGCTCCAAGCCTGGTGGCAATAAGCCAGTCACACCAGCACGTTAAACTCCAACTGGCATGACTTTGTAGGCTGTTGACGCGCGCGCGCGGGGGGTTATACCTTCGGGGAAAAAGCACGTGGCACCGACGTCGGCATATCGCCGAGCACGGTCGATGGCTTGTGTAAGCCCCTCTACAGAGGCGGCGTCTGTGCGAGCCCACACGACCAAATCACCTATAGATCACACAAGCCGCAGTGACAACATGCAGGGAGTCCCATGAGTCATTGGTGATTGTTCCGGGGCAAGAATAAAAAGAAAAGAAAAGACGAGGTGACGAGGCTGAGTCAAGGCGCGAATGCTTTGAGAACGCAAGACCAACCAGGCTGTTGTGCGGCTTCATCCAGGACCACGGCCAACTTGTGTGCAAAATCTGTCGGACTGATGAGCTGCTTGCCATCAAGGTGACTGCAGTGCGGATCAAGTTCCAACAAGCCATGAGGCCACACGATGCCAAAAGACCGTCATCAGGGCTGTAAGGAGTGTGAAAGGCACCAACCCGCAACGCTTCGCAGATACTTGGTCCTCAATGTGGAAGCTGTGGGCGCCGGCATGGGCGTAACCGCGTACAGCGGCGCGCCATTCTTCCGGCGTCTCTCCAAAGCCTGTGTCCATATCAGCCATAACATACAGGGGTGCTGCACGAGCTGCACTAGGTTGGGTGGCCTCGCAAAGCTGCCAAGATGAACAACGAGCAAATGAGCACGTGAGCGTGCGCCAGCAACAAGGCTGTCGGTGCAAAGCGCAGGAGCCACACCTGTCGAATGGCGCGCTCAAAGTCGGATCGACCGAGTATGCCAGTGTCCGTCATGCCCAGCACAGCACTGGTGGCAGCACCGCTCACATATGCAACGGGAATGTCATTACGCTGTAGTATGCGTCCAACAAAGGCATTGTGGGCGCCAAACGCCTGGACTGGCACATGGCTGGCGCGTGCCTGGTTCAGGAGCTGCCGAAGTGACATGCTTGCGGCCATTGTCTCCTTCCACATCAATCCAGCACCCGGCAATCCGATGGAATAACAAAATGCGCCTTTGTCCTCCTATCCAGACTGACTGGTTCAAAATTTGCCACCACCGCTGGCCTGATTCTCATGGGGGTCACCCCCGTGCCCTCCTTGTGCCGTTCGTTCCGTTTCTGAGCGACTCCTCTTTCAACCTTTGCACAAAATGGACGAAGGGTTCTGTGCCGTCCAAACCATGACAATTGTTCAGCTCGTCACAAGCAGTTTCTGATGCGTGACTTTTGATTATTTCTGCATGTCCTTGTGCATCCCTGTTTGTGCGTCAGTGTATTCACCCGCCTGCCGGACTTGACTGTCTCCTTGCTCAGTGCACCCCATCGTGCTTGCCCAACAGCTTTGGCTGGAGAGGATGATGACTTGAGTTGATGAAGGACGTTCAAAGAAAGAGGATCGTTGACTGACTGAATTCTCGATGTCGTCTTTCAGGAGCCCCCGAACGAACACAAGCTCACCGTTGACGCAACCGCGGCGCGAAAAGCAGGCTATTCAGGAGCAGGGGCTCTGTGCTCATGTGCCAAAACCTCTGGAAGGGCTTTAGATCTTGCCCTTGAGGAGCTCATGCACAAAGGAAATGGTGCTGACCTTCACCGTCTGGTACAAGGTGTAAAAGTCAAGCGTGGAGGTGATGGCATCCGCAAAGCCAAAGGGCAGCATGGCCACAATGTTACCGCGGGCATACTCGAGCGCCCAGCACTACGAAGCATCGGGCATTGGAATGTGCAGGAGATGAGACTCACATTCGCTGACGGAGCCAAGCAGATGCAGCTGCAATGCTGGACATGGGGCAATGTGCGGTGCTGCAGCCGGCGCAAGCAAATGGCCCACAAGGCAGGGAACGCAGAGCGACACGCCCAGCGCAAATCCTTGAAGCAGCGAAGCAAGCATCAACGCACCGCGTCGGGCATTTTGTACTGCTTGGCTTCTCCGAGACGAAGGTGGTGTTGGTCTCCGGGCATGTAGACTTCACGCTCCAGAGCGCCAGCGGGGTAGGCCCACTTGCAAGAGGCCATCGAAGCATAAATGGGGAGAAGGGCGTTTGTGAGGAAGGCCGAGGAGGTCGTTGATAGGGCAGGGACACAGAGAGTCTGAAACATTCTTTCCCGCTCGTGAATCCCACTCAACCATGCCGCACCTGCTCGCCGGCCAGAATGGTAAAGTAATCGTCAGCCAAGAAACGGCCTGTGTGACCCTCCGTGCCCAGCGCTGGGAACAATATAAGGCAGGATGGACAACCACGATGAGTCTGATGCCACGAATGTCACGAAAGCCAAGTGACTGGCACAAAAACGGATCCTTCAGTGGCAGGGCAGACACTTTCAAAATGCGGGCGGTCGAACGGCAGGGTGCAGCGACCTACCCGTGCCGAAAATGATGATGTACTCGGAGAAAGAGCAATGGAGGACAATCATTGAACCCATGGCACCACCAGCATTGTTGAACATCCATCTGTACGGATATGGAACGCAGCACCAGCTCGTGAGCAAACACACCGGCCGACGCACTGCAAGGCGAGAGCCAGACAGATGGACAGAGACGGACAGAGGCAGAGAGACAGAGAGACAGAGAGACAGAGAGACAGAGAGACAGAGAGACAAAGAGACAGAGAGACAGAGAGACAGAGAGAAAAAAAAAAAGGAGATGGCATAGCATGTATGGGCTCGGTGTAGAGACGAGAAACGCACTCTGATTCCTCAAGAATGTGGTCGCCATACTTGGCGCGCATACGGGCAATGACATCGTTAACCAGGGCCTCAGTAGAACCGTTCTTGTTCGCGGCGATGGCGGCCTTGGCGATGGCCTGCAACTCAGCCGGCTCAAAGACAAAGTTGGTGTTGTGGTACAGGTAGAAGGATCCGCCCACGAGGAAGAGGATCACGAGCAGAGACAGCGTCCAGCACCAGCTGTTACCACCCTTCTTGGCAGCACTCTTACTAGACTTGGCCATGGTGACAGAGAGTCGATATCACCCGAGCAAAGCGTCAAGGTCGACCTTCTTTCTCCTTCTCCCAACGTTCAGTGAGAGAAAAAAAAAATGCACGGTTCCCCCAAAAAACAGAAAAAATCCACCACATGGCCTGACCGACTGTTACGTGTGTACGCGTGCTGACGGTGTGCCAATGGTTGAGTGGAATGCTTGCGACGTCCCTGCTCTTTGTCAACTACCTCCAAGACCTCGCGATACCAGGATCTCGACCGAGGACATGACCCAGCCAGCCGGTCGGCACTGCCCGATGAGCTGTTCCCCTCCGAGCACACATCATCTCATCTTATCGAGGGCGCGTTTTTGTGGCCGCCATTCAAGTCGCGTGACCATTCCCCCTTTTTGCTTCTTCGTCGTGAGTCTCCCAATCACCATCGAGACTAAATTTCATCTGACATCAGACGACATCGCGCAGGAGAGCGCAAGTGAGAGAGAGACAGAGAAGAATCAGAGAGAGAGAGAGACACACACACACACACACACACACACACACACACACACACACACACACACACACACACAGCGAGATGTCATCAGTTTACGGGATCCGCACGCACGGATCAGATTTGGGTCAGTGAACTGGCGCGCTTTGCAAGCTTCGGGGAGGGGGTGTCCGGCGTTCTCGGCGATTGATTGGCAGGAGGAAAGGAGATGAAACTTCTGATGTTGTATCTTGAGATCAAAGGGATGAGCTGACTTGAGAGTTGCTGTGGATCGCGCGATCCCAGAGGGCGTTGTTCTTTTTGAACATGAGTTGGGCCCCTCTCGCTCTCTCGCTCTCTCACCCTCTCTCTCACGATTCCTGTGCAGCTACTCATGCATGCTAGACGACGCGTACACCTGCAGCCCATCACCATGGCTGCTCTCGCGCCCCCTGGCCGCGTGCTGGGGTTTGGCGTGCTGATTCTTGGTCTGCTTCAGCTATCCGCATACACCACTGCCGCGGCCGTCAAGTCGGGAAACCAGTGCGGCACTTGGGACTCGTGTTACGAGGACGCGCAGCTCGGTACCGCCGTACACGTACGTGCTCGCCCAAACACAAGGCAACAATTGTTTTACGCGTGCCGCCACTCCTGCAGACTTTTACCGAGGATTGTTGTGCCACCCACTGTATTTGGGCTCATGGGCGCATGTGCTGTGCTTGCGTTAACCCCTGCCTTTGCGCATGCCAGTCCAACTGGTTCATCGCCGGCATCAAGACAGGAACTTGGCAGCTAAGCCGCACCTACTACAATACCAGTGTGGCCGAGGGTGGTTGCAAGACTGGTGCCCAGGTCAGCCGTGCATCCTCAGTCTTCAATCGCATGAACGACTCTTGCGCGCTCGCGCGCCACTGTCTCTCTCTCCCTCTCCCTTTGAAACACTCTGTTCAAAGTCGATGACTTGGCAACCAGTCAAGAATGCACGTGCACAATCCCCTTTCACATTCTCCCTGCTGTGCATGCAGACTTTGGTGATTGGCTGGGGTGGTGTATGGATGGATATGGGCGACATCGCCGGCATTGATGTGCGTACTGTCATGCAGCACCCCTGCGTCGCGCAAAATTCACCAAGGGCTAGCCACTCATTTTCCCCTCTCTGCTGTAGGGCGCACGTGGCTGGCGCATGGATAGCGATGGTGTCCTTGTCGTGGTCAACGACCAGACCTGGGTTGACAAGCTCAATAAAGATTGCCCGTGTGGTGACACCTGGAAGTTGGGGGGCAGTCGCAACTTGCAAGCATGTGATCCTGGTGCGGCCCCTGCGTGCGACATCAAGAGATTTCGCTCTGCTATCTTGATCTTGCTCACGACAACTCTTCCTTTACAGGCACTTGCAAAGATACCACTTGGCTTGGCGGAACCTCCTCGGACGGTCTGTCAGCCCAACAACATGCCATAGCATCACACGATTGCGATGGTCTCACATAACCCTGCAACTTGCATTTCGTTAGCAACTACCAATGGCATGGTCTTTCAGGGATCCAATTACGGCTGGTCCATCACGGAGGTAACCGACCATTGCCCGAGCCCTTTTCAACCCGCCGCTCTAACCACCTAGCCTCTTGGTTCTTGGGGTTTTTTTTTTATTTTTATTTTTTTAAATTTTCTTGATCGAGCTCTTACACCCGGCCACTTGCGCAGAACGAAGAGTCACTCAACATGTCTTTTGCCATGTCACGACTGGATCGAGAGCTGCATGCTGGTCTCACGCTTTCGCAGGACAACGTGTATGAAACCGTCAACATTTCCAAGCGTATGTAGGCGCAATCTTGCCCGTGTGTACCCCCATATCGATACCGTTTGATCGTTTGTATCCCATCTGCTGCTTAGGCTGCGATCCCATCGAGACGATTCAACAAATTTGTGGCCAGTACTCGCTGGATTGCATGTCCACCTACAAGACCAAGGCTGAGCCTTATGCCCAGTCATACTCAACCCAGATCCTTTACGATGGGCCCCCAGATGACGTACGCTTTCAGCACTGCATTTCTGCTGCATGGGGGAACCAAGCATTTCACGGGCTTGGTCTTGATCCGCCTCTTTCGGGCTTGCATGTCCATGACGCTTCTGTTCGGCGCACTGACTGGGTTGAATGCTTGCTAGACCATTCAAAACAGCTCGGGCCTGTACCAGATCCTCACCACCTACTACAACGACGACACGTGCACCAGTCCCTATCTGCGAATCAGCGATACGGGCACCATGACCATTCCCGGTGAAGGCCAAGACGATGTGCGTGCCTTACCATTCGTGCCTCATTTGTTTCAAGAAAATTCCAATCTGTCACGTGCCCTTTTGGGGGGGGGGGGGGGTTCGGCTCGCGCCTTTGCTTGCATCTCAATCGTAAAACGACGCGCGCTATTTTGCATGCCACACGTTGTACTTGCTCAATAGTCACGCTTGGTGGCCAAGTTTGTGCCATCCCTCGAAGTTACCCCCTTTACCGACGCAGCCACGGCCATGCTCAAGGCTGACTGCAACTGCGGTGCCAAATGGAACACAAACCAAAAAACGATGTTAACCACCTGTCCGTCCAACAATCCGCCACGGCCCCGATGTTTGAAGGTCCACAGTGTTGGATGACCGCTTCACTATGCCGTCGCATATCTTATTGAAAGCCGCTGTGCTTGCCTGACTCGAAACACAGGCATGCCCAACAATTGTGAGAACCCATGGTTCAACGATGGCCAAAGCCCGGGCATGGTCCTTTACTCCTCCTTCCTGGTCCAGACGCGCAACATTGACAACGATGGCCTGGAGATGCGCCACACGCCGTGGACCGCCCTGCCCAGCAATGTGCGAACTGGGCACTTGACCCATCTAATTCGCGACGCAGCCGGCTCATCCCGTTTCTCGCTATGGCAAACTCTGTAGGCCTCCTCAGCCCAATTTACTGACTATGAATACGCCTTCTCCTTGACCAATGGAGAGTGCCTATACCCAGGCCAACAACAGTTTGGCATCTGCGGCAAGTGGACTCTGCTCTGCTCGTCGTCTGAGGGTGCCGATGATATCGCCGTGACATGGGCATTTGAAGGTGACTCGAACGACAAAGCCGAGGTTGGTCAAACCCTCCTCCTGGCCTCAACTTGTCTTGCAAAGAGCTTCATTTACCTTAGCCAACGCCGCCCCTTGATCACAATTTCGTTTCGTTTAGGGCGACGGTCGCTTCATTCGCTTGTATCAAGCATTCGAGGGCGGCAATGGCTGCGTGCATGACGTGCGCACCATGCAGATCACAACCGAGGGCTACTACTCTGATCAGGGCGAGAACGATGCTCTCTTTGCTGTTTGTTGTCACGCATGGCCCGCAAACGTGGTTTTTTAGCCTGCGCTGCCTTATGGGATCAGTCTTCACTGCATATTGTACCTGGCATCGTGTGGCAGAACTCGCGCAAGATGCTACTGAATGCCTTTCGCGTGAATGCAACCGTTTTTACGGCTGATCTAGTCACTGAACTCAACGAGCATTGCAGTTGCGGCGGTACTTGGGAGGTTGGTTCATGGCTCATGATTGCTTGAGGGCAGTGTGTTCCTTTGCCTCTCAAGCAACATTAACATTTCAACTCTTTTTTTTTTTTTTTTTTTTTTTTAGATCGGGGTCCCTCGCATTCTGACTACGTGCACCGACTGTAAAAGCCAAGCCGCCCTGGGCTACATTCCCGTACGCACTATGTGCCCTGCTTTTCAAAGCCCAACATCGCCCAGCTCGCTTACGTTTCTGTGTGTGTTTGTTTTCGTTTTCTGTTTATTTGTTGAATTGTTTGTTTGTTTTTCGGTCTTTGGCTTTGTGGCCGCCCTAGGTGGGCTCCCCCGGCTTTGGCACCATTGTGCATGAGGATGAATACTTGCGCATTGGGAAATTTTTGACCGATGCCAATGAAGGTGCGCTAGACGCAGGAATCATCTCAAGCCCTGGTCGTGGTCTGCCTCTAAAGGGCGAGCGGACTCTGACGTGACGTTTTTGCCTGAACAGGATATGATACCCCGTTTGGTCTGGATGATCAGCCCTTGTTCTACATTGATAAATGCAAGCTTCCTGAGACTAGCTGGGAGATTAACGGCCAGTGGCATCAGCCCTGCAGCCCCAGTACTGAGCTTACCGACTCAGTCGTGAACTGGACCTTTTCTGACGACTCGTCCTTCCAGCGCGAGTACAACTTGTATCAGGGAGGTGTCGGTTGCGCCAGCAACGACGACCTGGTCTTGACCGCTGTGACCGAGGGCACGGTACGTGGGACCGGTACTGCTGGCAATGATAATGTCTCGCCTTTGTCCTCCTTGCCGTCACACCTCGGCTAGCGTACGTGCCAGGCTGCCTGCCGCTAACACTGGCACTGACTCGTATGTTCAGGTGGTGAGCTATGGCAAGCTCGAGAATTCGACTCAGCCCATCGAGCTGAGTCTCACGCACTTGGACATCACGCCCTTGACGGACAACATGACTTTTTATCTGCAAGCACAATGCGCCTGTGGAGGCACCTGGAAAACCAAATCCCCCCGCAGGTACATGGGCTGCAATACCTGGTTCCGCTGTGTTGATCTTCTTTCTCCCCAACGTCGATGGGCATACTTTCGAGACGACTTTTGTGGCTCAAACAAGGATCACGCTCGTCTCACTGCACCTCCCTTCAAACTGGCGCTTTCAACAGCCTTTTGGGTGGATGTGCGGCTGGCACCTGCGATGACTTTGACTGGCTACGTATTGAGCCAGGTGAGAAGATGCTATCAGCTCATCGGCCTTGAATTCCCGCCAACATGGCTCGCCAAGCCCACTCACCCAACTGTCATGTGACCCACCAGGCAAGCAAAGCTTTGGCCGTTACACAGCAAGCCGCACCTTGCTCCGCCTGACGGAGCTGTATGCCACGACTGACGGCTTGAACCAGGTATGAGCAATATGAGCTCCCTACCCGGGGCGGGCGAGCTCGATGGGTGCTGACCACGCCCTGCCCCAAACCCTTCTTGCTGCATCTGCCACCGCCAGAACTTTACGGTTGAAGACTATGAGCTGATCAACGTCACCAACGGCTTGCCACCGGCCCCCACGATCACGCCGTTTCCTCCGACGGGCAATCCCACGCCGCCCATTCCCACCCATACGCCCACCCCCGCGCCAGCCAAGAAAGGCAAGGGTGGACTGAGTGGCGGTGACATCGTTTTGCTGATTGCTTTCCTCAGCGTCTTTGTCTGTACGTGGTGCCGCATGCCATGTACACATGTTTACTCGTCGTCCGTTGCCAGAGCGAGCACCTACGCCTATTGTCGATGACACGACGCTCATGATGTGGCTTTTGTTTCTCAACCGTTGTTCGCGCATCCAGATGTTGTTGGCGGCATGCTCATCAACTACAAGTATGTTATTCGGCCCCGTCCGCATCAAGCCGGCTCTACGGCCTGCTGCATCAAATCAGGCAATCTGTGCTTATGACCGGGTCCAACTCACCTTACCGCTGCGTCGATCTTGGCTTGCTTCAGGAACAATCGCGGTCCTCAAATCCCCCATGCGAAATTCTGGAGCCAAGTCCCGGGCCTCATTTCAGACGGTGTCTTTTTTACCTTTTGTCAGTGCTGTGGCATGCGCGCCTCGCGGGCCCACTACTCGAGCCTTAACGATGAGAACGCAAACTACGGATCTCTCTAAGATTCTCTTTCGTGTTATTCTCCGTTTTGTTGAAAAGGAACACTGTTTGTGCCTCACATTCACCATCAATATCTTTCTTTCTTTGTTCCTGTCTTTCCATATTTCTTGTTGCTGCGCGCGAGCTTGGTCCGTTCCTG